AGTCGAAGTTGCGCGAGTCAGCTAGTTTCCCAATGTACTGGATGATAATGGAATGGTGCACACGCCTGCGCTAACGGTATACGCTGGCGGGGCACCAGTGGAGGATGACATGATGAACATGAAGTCAGGTCAGTTAGCCCATCGTGATAAGTTCACTGCGAATTTATCAAGATGGTTTCCAAGGGGAACCGCGTGGAGGTCAACCTGACATGGTACATTGTTAGCAATGCGATCATCAGTCCACATTACTAACAACTGAATTTTCATTTAATGTTAGACATAGACAGACACCTATATAAATATACATTGTAAATAAACTGGCTTTAAAAAAAAAAGTAATTCAATTGAGTTTCTTGCCAGTTCTTCTCAATTGGATCTATATACCGAACTGAACGGTAGGGAAAAAATAAAATTATAATGTAAAAATTTGACGTTCATAAGCGGCTAAAATGTCCTACATGAATAAATGATTTTTGAATTTGAATTTGAATTTGAATGTCAAAGTTTATGTCAATGTCAATGTGTGATGTTGGTTAATCTGTAAATATTGCTCACTCTCTTGTTAAGTATCTGTCATTGTGTAAGTATATAAGTTTCCTAATAAATACTAAATATAAAAGATAGACTGCATATTATTTTAAAATATCATATAAAACATTAATTACATATATATTCAGCTTTCTAGGAATACCTGGCAACACTAGGGGTCATCCGTAAATTGCGTCGCATAAATTTCATTATTTTTTTTACCCCCTTCATAATTGTCATAGCGTGTCACACATTCACTCCCCCCCCCCCTAGTGTCATGTCACATCTTTTGTAATTTTATTAAAAATAGGAAATATTTTTGTTTATTTTCTTTTTATTTAAAAATATATATAATATAGGAAATATATGTTTTTCGTTATTACTTCAAATTACATATTTTAATACTCAGACGTTAATTTATTTTGAAAAATGTCATGATATTTCGCATATTTCCCTCCCACCCCCATCTCTTGTCTGATTTCGGCTCCCTCTTTACTTATGTATTTATGGATGCACCCTAGACTAGATTAAAGTAAATAAAACTACCAATTACTTAATAAACTTCTGAATAGCATATATTTAATTAAGAAATAAAAAAATACATAGAAATAACATAACCTCTTTTAAGCTAACTTACATTCTAAAGATGCCAGCAAAGTTTCCCTGACTTCATTGTGACGGAAGGAACCAAATAAAAAAAAACATTTAAAAACTAATAATTTATTCATAATAGATACACAGAGTCAGTGTTAATAAATTTATTGACAAATAAACTGATGTCATTCAACTTGTCATTTTATAGAACACTAGATCCATCTAGGTAATGTCAAATTGAGACGGGTCCGTTTAAAAAAGTAATAATAAAAAAATAGAATATTAAAAAATAAAAGAATATTTATTACACAAATAATTGGGACCCTAATAACAACATGCAGTAAAAATATTAACTGGGCGCTTTTTTTTCATAAGAATAGCCGATTACACTCTTAAATAAATTTTATTTTTAAATTTTCACTAATACAAAAATGGGAGTCGCTGTTTAAAACATTTAAAACTATACACCTTTGCTAAATAACAACAATTAAAAAAAATAGAATGTTTTAATCACTCGTGATTGGCCAATAATAAATAGCTGCTTATTTAATTTAAAAAAAGAATAACAACTAATATTTTCTTAGAATGTGACGCGAATTACGAATGTATACAAACAACTTATTGAACGATTTAAAAAAAATAAAAAATGGCGCCCAATTAACGCGGGAAATATATTCCAAGGAAAATAAGTTAAAAATCTAAAAACGTAGGCTAGCCAATAATTTCTTACATTTACAGTGCTAACGTATAATAATATATTTTGTTTATATTAATTATAATAACCGTTACGTCACAACATTTTATTATAAAATCAATTTATTGATAATTTTATTTAAAAAAAAAAGACAATAATTCTCATTCTTTACCCATACTTTCAAATGTTCTGAGAAAAAAATAAAAGAATAATATTCTTGTCTATTACTAGTACATTTAAAAAAAAGATTACATTATATTAAAAATAAACTTTTTTTTATTATAAAATGTCATAACGTGACAGTTTTATTTTTTAAAAGCACGAATGGCGAGAGGGCAGCCCACAACGGCCAGTCCCTCTGTCGTAAGCATCAAATGCCAGTTACACACTAGAATGCACCAAAATCTGCTCCGTAGCGGTTTAGCCGAAATATATTGGTTTTTGTACTTACGTCTTGTGAATTCAAAATACACTTTTATTTCATTAAACTGAAGATATTTATTCAATTTTAAAACAAATATTAAATAGGTACTATTTGAACATATATTAAGGAGATTTTTTTTTCTTATTTAAGTATTACAATTTTCCATACTTTTTCCACTAAATAATAAATATGAATATAATTCTCATAAACATAAATATTGTTAAAAAAAAATGTAATAGAAAATATTTAAACTAGTTGTCAATTTTTATTTATATATTGCCCCAATATTAAATGGACACAATAAAAGAATAATTTACTTTATGGTTGATAATATGTATATACGATTGGTGCATATACGAATGGGCGTGGCATAGCAACTAAATGGACCAATCAGAGTTAATCTGAACTTTTGTAGAATAGACTGACGTTTACTGACGCATTACTGAGCCTAAGAGATTGTTATATAAACTACCCACCCCGGGTTCGCATGTACATGTATTATACATATAAACCTTCCTCGTGAATCACTCTATTGCTAAAAATTGCATTAAAATCCTGCATAGTTTAATAGATCTAAGCGAACAGACAGAAGCAACTTCATTTTATACTATGTAAAGATTCAGTTCTTTGTACTTATTTCTAACTCATAGAGTTACGCTAAGTATAGATATTTTGTACCAACATTTTCCGGTCAAACTGTACGGTGCAGTGAGAAAATTAAAAGCGACCATAGACGTGAAACGAAACGAAAAAAAACGAATCGAAACGAACTCGATTGGCAAGTCAAAGGTGATAATCATTGTCAAATAAATAAAACTCTTGTACACATATATTCATTAGCTCTTACATTTCTAAATGCTCTTAGCAGTGTCTGCTCAGGTGGCTGAGCAAGATCGCACTCAACCGTATCCTTGAGTATTATTAGGGGCCATGCTCAAATTATGTCACACCTTGAAGAGGATAGGGGCCGACAAAATGTGACAGGAACCAACGGCTGGAGGACTCACAAAGTTCATGCAAAAAAAGAAATCAAGGACCCTAGTTCTAGGGCAGATTTGGTGAGATCACATTTAAATTTAGTATGAAATACAATTTTTTTACTATGACTTTGTGACCAACTGTGACATGGATGTGACAAAATTTGTGGCCCTTTATACTCGCCAATACTTACACATATCAAAATACAGAATAAATTCTACACAATAGGATATAGACTTTAAAATTGTAACTTTAAAGTCGTATTCCTACATTACATTTGATAACATTCAATGGCAACGATGCAGATTGGCAAACATTCTACAATCCATTTCAGTATTTTCAATTCAATTTATTCCGTATTCCAATATGAATATGGTTCAAAATCGAGCACCCTATCTTAATACATTTACCCCATTAACAATTTTTAAATCGAAAATTTGTTATTCATAACATTTCAATACGAGCTTTCGTATTGGTGAGTAATAAAGCTTTTTGTGTGCTTATATAAAGACTTAAATCGTCGCCCTACATTGCTACTGCTAAAATTGAGTAGGTTTGAGTGATATCCGCGATTGTCATTTGCCTGAGCGGTATCCTATAACCGACATCTGAGTAATATTCTCTTAAGCAATATCCTGACTCAACATCCCTTAGAGATATTAAGCTGAGTGATATCCTCACAAGCAATGCTCTAACTGATACCTGCTCGAGTAATTCATCGGACCGTCATACTTGTCATATTTGTTGAGCGATATCTTCTCGAGTAACATTGCTTAGCATTATCCGCCTGAGCGACATCTGCCTGAGCGCAATACAGTAGCAACCCAATGCCAATAGGTGGGCTAATTCTTACATACAACTGTTCAAATAAGTGGCTACAGAGAGCTTAGGATTTTAATTTCAAGAAAGTGTCCATAAGTTGAATATTGCATGCAGAAACAACCAAATACAGATTGCAGTACTATCATAATACTCAACTTAAGTCGTGAGTAGATATAACTGCCTCTTTCCATCAGCATCTCTAATTTGAGGAGTGAGCGAGATAGCAGACAAGGAAGAGTTCATTTTAGCTTGAATGATTACTGCAATTTTAAATTAGTTGTTTCTGATAAATAGGAAATGTGTTTAAAATAACGTTACATTAAATTGTGTTATAAATACTATTATTTAACAAATAATTATTAGAATTTGCAATCGATTGCGGATAAACTTGTTCTGTTGTCGACTTTGTTTTATTCTGGAAATAATTTGACCAACAAGCTGTTGGAATTGAGCGGAAACATTCAAGAAGGTTGTTCAAAATTAATACTAATTAAACATAAAGATTATTTATTTATTTATTTCTTTCTTTTATTTTCTTTATTTGAGACTGCAGAGTTTTTGGAGGGTATTTTCGGAAAGGTTCAGAAAGGTGCCGTCGAAGTCGCGGTGGACTGATTTCGATCCCGCGACTCAGCCATAGGCGTTGGGTGAGGGACATCTTGGAGTTTTTAGTGAGTAAGAGTCTCACAGTACCCGCTCGCCTCCCCCGGGGCGGTTTGGAAGGGTATTTTCGGCAAGGTTCGGTAATGTTCGGAAAGGTGACGTCGGAGTCGCGGTGGACAGATTACGATCCCGCGACTCAGCCATAGGCGTTGGGTGAGGGACATCTTGGAGTTTTTAGTGAGTAGGAGACTCACAGTACCTGCCTCCCCCGGGGCGGGCGGGTCTCCACGAAGGATTTTCTCCAAGTCAAATAAAAAAAAAGGTTCAGTATAGGTTCGGTAAGTTCGGCAAGGTTCGGTAAGGTTCGGCAACGCGCACGTGACACCGCTAGTATTTCAGGCGTTCATAGACTATGGTAACCATTTACCATCAGATGGACCTTTACCACTGCGGAATAAAAAACTAAGTTTGTTCAAGTACAACCCTATTGTTCCTACTGAGCATGGTTTTAACCAATTCCAATTCCGATCCAAGTACATTGGATTTCGCAGTTACGCGCCTTTTCACTCAATTAAATAACAACGTATAAATTCTAGATTTCATGACAGAAATTTGGAGTACAAAATTGGATTGGACTGAAATCGGTATTGAGATTAACTGTACAGTAGATCTTTTGTTTATGCTTTATCAAATTATTTCCAGAGTAAAATTAAGGCGACATTACACTATATACATCCCACCGATTTGAAGCTTTCGTAAGACAGGCGTTTCTGAAGAGTCCCTTACATTTAAATTACAAGTATTCCAAAGCGAGATGGCAGTGTGGATTGTGGGTATATCTGAAAGAGAAAGATATATATTTATGTTATTGTTTTGCAGCAGAAGTTACAAGGAACAAAACAGAAGGAATCTATACTAATTACTATAGTCCGTTACGAAGTAGCATAGTCCTCAAAATGGCAAAATAAAGTACTATAGGTGTTAGAGATTATAATGCTCTTGATGCTATATGTCTATAGATTACTATTTATCATCAGACTGGTCGTATGCATAACCTCTTTATTGTATAAAACAAACAGTAGTGTGGTAGTTCACGTAAAAGCCAGTCTACAGATTAGAATTATTCATCAGACAGGTTGTATGAATAAACTAAAAATTGAATAGAACAAGAAGTAAAGTGTGATAGTAAAAGTACCAGGACAACATGAAGTTATAGAAGGTGAGACATAGCACTGTAATTACGGAGTACCATAGTGCTCAGCATGGCAAAATAAAGTACCATAGGTGATAGAGATTGCAATGTTCGTGATGCCATTAATATCTATAGATTACTATTATCAGACTGGCCGTATGCATAACCACTTTATTGTATAAAACAATAAGTAAAGTGTGGTAGTTGAAATGAAAGTACCAGGACAACATGAAGTTATAGCCAGTAGAGAATTCGGGTGAATATATCACCTCTAGGCGGGTTGTGGCGTGCTGGACTTGTCCTTCTTTTTCTCTTTCTTCTTCTTGAGGAAGGAGGGCGTCCGGAGTCCCTTCTTCTTCTTCTTATCCTTTTTAGGCGAGTCCTCTGTAGACACTTCCTTTGAGGGGGAGCCCTGGAATTCATAACATATTTTTTTTATACAATTGTTCGCAAATTGTTTAAATTCGAGCATAATCATTACATAGTATAAAACAAAGTCGTTGTCGCTGTCTGTACGTCCATATGTATGCTTAAATCTTTAAAACTACGCAACGGATTTTGAAGCGGTTTTTTTTAATAGATAGATTGATTCAAGAGGAAAGTTTCCAAAACACAAGTGGATTGTATTAGAAATGGGTTTATCCCGGTCTTAGTTGGGCCTGGGGGGAAGGTGCAGGTAGTGAAGGTGAGTGTTAATGCATTCTAAAAGGGCCTTTTAAACCTACACCCGTGTCACAAGTCACGGGCGCTACTTGGGGTTTCTCTTCCGGTAGCCGGCTTCAAAGCCTAAGTCCTCACTAGGGAATGCAATCCCGATCCCGCGGGATCTCGATCTCGCGAGATCTCGTGTAATTTTTCGGGATCAATCCCGACGCACCATATGACGAGATCCCGTTCGAGATTGACGGGATTGGGCGGCAGTGAAAAAGAAATAAAAAATATAATCACACGATTATATCGTAAAGAACCAAACCAAGCAGATATTAATACGGCAGTACTAATCGAAGATGACTTGCCTCTTTCAATGATTGCAGAAGATTTGAATTTACGTGCTGCACAAACTAATAAATCGCTTCAAGAGGAATTAGAAGAAACTCTGCGAGCTTCTAAAAGTCCTTATGCACGTATATCCACGTCCACGAGCTTAGACAAATTAGAATATACCATTAAAAAAGAAATGGATTTGTTTGAGTGTGGAGGAACAAGGGGGCGATTTTTGCAGTTTGCATATAATTGCTTCGCCACGCTGTTGCCAACCAGCGTTGAGTCGGAGAGGGCATTCTCAGCAGCGGGGTAGATTGCAACGGACATTAGATGCCGTTTAGCAGATGAAACTATTAATACCCTTTGTTTTTTAAGGAGTCATTTTCAAAATCACTCTTTTTCCTAATTCCCTTGAAAAAAGTGAAATAATTTACCTACGTTAATTTCCTTACAACCTGATTATTATTTAGTCGGTAAGATTAAAGAATAAAGGTTTTTATTTTCTTTCGAGTAATATGTTATTTTAGTTAACCTCACTATCACAAACAAGCAGTTATTAGCTTTTTCAGTCATCTGAATTCAACATTTTTTTTTAAATTTAGACGGGATCCCGAAAATTCCGGGATCCCGCGGGATTGATATTCTAATCTCGCGGGATCCCGAATTTGCAATCTCGAGTCGGGATTGCATTCCCTAGTCCTCACCATAATTAGTGCTTCTTACAATTGGGACTGGATGGTGTTGTATGAATTACTAACCTCTTTACTGCTATGGGAGAATGTGCTCTGGTGTGCATCCGAATGATCCCCGTTCACTGTGTGCTCTCCTGCAAGAAACACATCATTATAGAATAAATTGCGAACTTCAAACATACCCATTAACTCGTAAGTATCTCAATATAACAATAGCCGAAGTAAAAACACTGTTCTAAATACAAGTCACGGCTGTAATCCTAATCTGCTGACCAACCAACTGATAGTCCCCAATATACGTCACCTTCCTCCACTGGTGCCCCGCCACCGCAAACCGTTAGCGCAGGCAGGTGCACCGTTCCCTTATCATTATCGTTCCCTTATCATTATTATTATTACATAACAAAGTCGCTGTCTGTCCGTCCCTATGTATGCTTGAATCTTTAAAACTACGCAACGGATTTTGAAGCGGTTTTTTAAATAGAGTGATACATCCGGGAGAAGCCGGGGCGAGCAGCTAGTCATCTATAAAAAAAACATCCGTCGCCTTATAAGGGGTAGGTAAGGAAGCCTATGACTACTCAGGATCACTTAATTTTTTTATTTTATTGGGGAGCTTTGGCCTATTGTCAGATCCTAAGAATTGTAACACTGCGACCTGCATAGATCTATTGTGCTCGCCTGTAAAAATTCGCTACCTAGGCCCGTGAGTGACAAGAAATGAAATTCAAATTCAAAAACCATTTATTCATGTAGGACATTTTAACCGCATATGAACGTAAAAATTTTTATATTATAATTTTTTTCTACCGTCAATTGAAGGACTACGTTCATAGTCTTCTACTGATTGTAAGATGGAAAGAACAAAAAGAAAAAAAAGACGATACATTCTTTAAAAGATACATAAATAATTAACAAATTCCCTCGACAGTCCTCTTTCATTAGTCTCCTAAACTGAACATACTATAATACGCTGTATGTATTGTAAGTATATATAACATCAGTTCATTCGAAAGCAAGGAGTTTCATCATCATCATCAGCCCACTGCAGTCCACTGCTGGACATAGGTCTCTCGCAAGGCACGCCACTGGGTCCAATCTTCAACCCTTCTCATCCAGTTAATACCCGTAACCTTACGTAGGTCGTCGCTCCACTTAGCTGCTACATTTGTCAGATAAAATTTGTCCAAAAAAAAATATCCTATGTATGTATTCATTTGTGTTATACAAAAAAACGTTTTTTTACACAGTCTATGAAATTTAATTGACTATCACGTGCAAAATAGCATTCCCTGTGCAAAAATAACTATTCGTGCAATGCAGTGTAAAAAAAAACAAATTAGGTCATTCTTTAAATAATAAGATATACTTATAACACTATGTTTCAAAAAGGAATAATATATGCCATAAAGTTCAGTTACAATGCGTTAAGACACTAATTTTGGCATTTTACACGCAAAAATTTCCTTCGTGAAACTTAGTGTGTAGAAAAATATTAGTTGAATTATTGTGTGTAAAAAAGCACGTGCACTCACCATTAGTCGTTACTTGAGTCCTCTCTCGGAGCCAGCCGAAAGCTTAAGCATGCGTTTGTGAAGCATTATTAGAGGCATGAACAAAAATTTCTTGTACATTATTCGTGTAAAAAATCTGTGTTGAGGTATATGTTTTAACTGGTATCATTAATGCAAGAGTATGTGTGTTTTACTACTTTTTCGTAATTAACGGCTTAACAAATCGTCATGAAACTTTATATGGACATTTTGGATTTTGGAGAACTCCAAAACTCAAAATAGATTATTTGCCTACACAATCGATTATGGTCACAAAATGCATTAAATATAGTAAACTCTTTAAATGTTCCCAATTAATACCATTTCTATTACCAAATTTACAGTGATATTACTTATATATCATATAATATTTATGTAATAAGTCATTCATGCCTCTAATACTATAGGGTATATTAGAACCAACACAAAAAGCACATTAAAATTATAAAAAAACATTTAATTAATGACATATTCGAAAATCACAATTATAATTAAGTTGTAATTTTTTAGCATACATCGAGGTTAAGCTGACGCCATAAGCACAAGTACAGAATACGAAACGTTTTTTATACATTTTCATAATGAAATTAAAAACATTACTTGTTTTACGCATAGGCAATATTATGTTTAGAATAGAAAAAACAAAAATACGATTTACAAACTATTTGTGGCAAGGTCTAAATTGCCAATGAAATTTTAAATGTAAAAATAATCAAAAAATAGCATATATTTAAAGTATTTAATTGTATTAGTATATGCCCAAATATTTGCACGCATTTTTTATTTTTATACGAAATTTTACACATAAAATTTCACCTACGCATCAAGACAAATTGTTTATTAATAAAATAGTGGACAAAACAGATGTGTGCAAACATAAAACACAACAACAAAAACCTCATGCATACAATATAAGTAAATAAAACATTAAAAAAACACAACTATACTCGTATGGCAATGTTACGTTTAAAATCACTTACCGTTGTTTTAAAAACAAATCTATATATATCTTATTAATAGTGAGGAATATGAAACTGCGTCTCTTTTAGCAAGCAAAATATTTAAGAAATGCTATATAAATTTCTATTTATATTAATGCCATTATTTTAATTTGATATATCATTACATAGTACAAAACAAAGTCGCTGTCGCTGTCTGTCCATCCCTATGTATGCTTAAATCTTTAAAACTACGCAACGGATTTCGAAGCGGTTTTTTTAATAGATAGAGTGATTCAAGAGGAAGGTTTATATGTATTATACATGTACACCCGGGCTAAACCGAGGCGAGTAGATAGTTACTAATACATATTACATAAATGAAAGAATTAATATGATATTTATCACCAACCACTTAGATACAGCGAGAATTATCACAGGAAATACCTTGTTTATAAAATACGAGCTGCTCGTCCCTGCTTGGCACGGGTGTACATGTATTATACATATAAACCTTCCTCTTGAATCACTCTATCTATAAAAAAACCGCTTCAAAATCCGTTGTGTAGTTTTAAAGATTTAAGCATACATAGGGACGGACAGACAGCGACCGCAACTTTGTTTTATTACTGTGTACAACATTACTGTGTAATGTTGTATAAATAAACGTTAAAAAACTTTTAAACAGTATTGTATAGTAAAACATTTTTATGTTTCCTAAATTATTCATATTATATCGTATAAAACTAAGTCATCTCCGATGTCTGTTTGCTTATATCTTTTAAACTACGCAATTCAAGAGGAAGGTTTATATGTATAATACATGCGTGTTATAGTATAGAACGAGTCGAGAAATTCAAAGATTTGTAATGTATCCGTGCGAAGCCGAAGACTAACGTTGATATTGGAGGTAGCATATTATTAAGTCATAACTCTATGATATGATATTACCCTTTTAAGGTTATAGAATAACATTACCCCTTTCCTTAAAAATTTAGTTTTCATATTAATAAGTTATTCTCCAACACAATTTAAAAATAAATCGGCGATCAAGTCTCATTTATCTTGTCTTTGTACATTCCTACTTTACGATACTCGTACTTAGAAATAACATTACCCGTTACACCAAAGCATAGAAAAATTTAAATTCACAAATCACTATGAGGTATATTAACATTTTCGAAATCGTCATCGAAACTTTCAGACATTCTAAATTTAGTGATAATCTTATAGAACAGCGTATGCTCGAATGGAGGCCAACTCGAATACAATCGTTTACTCGATTGTGAATGCGAATCGATTCTCGAATCGTACAGTAATCGTTTACACGGCACTTCATTGCAATCGAATATTTCGGAATCGCACGAATTATATTCCGTGCAGACGCTGGGTGACGCAAAGATATCAGTTCTACCAACTGACTTTATGTGAGCATCATCTAACAAAACTCCAGACCTTTTAAATCCATTGTTACTAACATTGAGTTCGTTGCTATCGTTCGATTCCTTGGTCTCTTTTAAATCTACTGCAACAAAACTGGGGATATGATCATCCAAATTACGTACAGTCCTCTTACAAGTTTCTCCCATTTCCGCAACATTATCGTCAAAAGATAACCAATACTTAATTCCTCCTGTGTTCTCAGTCTGAGACATAGATATAACTGGAGCCTTCTTGACAAATGGAGAACCTAGTATTGTATCATCTTTTTCGTACAATACACTCAAATCGTCACCTGCGAAGCTTTCGTTTGTATTTTTAATAGGAGATTCGTTGCAATTATGAAAAATACTGGAATTTTCTGATACATTCATATCTTCAACGAAAGCATCATTCATGCTTTGTTCTGGGACATCTAAAATAAACGTTTCGTTTGAAAGATTGTCAATGGACGCGGTCCTTTTGTTGTTTTCTTCCTGGCAATGTTCATATTCATTTTCACATAATTTGGTTACGTCTAAATCTGATATATTTAATGTTTGTGTAATAAATAAATTAGGATTCTGTTCGTGATCATAATCATTAATAATTGCAGTAAAATTTTCATTAATTAAATTATTCTGATCAAAACTGTTAATAACTTCAATGGTTTCTAACACTGATTCGATATACGATGGTCTATTTATTATATCATCAATATGGTCATGCATAACAAAATTATCTACATTTCTTGTTTCTAAGCTAGTTTCAGTAATTTTAGGAACTGTATTAAAATTTTCATCCATATCTAAACTATTGCTTAAGCATGTTTCAAGGTTTGCATTTAAGATGCATTTAACATTATCTTCCGTATCACCTTTCAAATCGATAAAACTGTTATCAAATTCTTTAGAAATCTTAACACTTTCTTTTACTTTATCTAGATCGGACCATAAATTTTTAGACGTTAACATTATATCTTCACTGTCTACAACTGTAACTACCTTTTTCTCGTTTTTATTTATAGCTTTCTTATGTTTTTCGGCGCATATGTAAAAAGCTGCATCAAATATATAGTATATTAGAGCTTCGACTACTTTGTTAGACGAATTAATATCAGTTTCACTTGTGTCTGTTAATATTGTCTCATTTAAATTAACATTTGTTTCCAGATCTTCAATAATTCTCGCTATTGAAAATATTTCTTCTACATTTGTGTCACTTAAATCTTGTTCATTATAATTCAATATTAGCGGTTCTTTGCATTGACATTCTTCGGTTTTTAGTTCAATTTTATTTTCAACATAAAAATTAGTTTCAACTTTACGCTCTAATATCGTATTAAAAATATTATCATGTTTTATATTCTCTAAATCAATTCTATTCAAAATATTAGTAATGATATCTGAAATGACTTCCAAGTTTTCGAATTCAACAGTTGAATTAAAACTCGTGAGTTCATTTCCTGAACTTGCGTTACTTATTGTGCTTATTCTGATAATGTCATTATCGTTTTTGTTACTTTCATTATTATTTGTAGTGTTGACAGTAGCAGAAGGTATTTTGAAGTCATGCTTATAAACAGATTTTAATACTTGTATATCCATGTTTTTCGTTTTATTATCTATACCCACAGCAGTCAGTATTGGATTAGAAGGTATTTCTAGATCATTGATAGTATCGTTAGAACCTTCGTCAGCAACAAAATAACTGCCGTGTTTATGTAAATATTCATTTTCTTTTAACTCGTTTGTATGTTTTTCACAAGCTACGTATTCTATTTCATTATTTAATTCAATTGCTGGTACAGCCTTTATCAGAATATCAGAAATAATGCTATCTACAGCAGTATTAATGTTATCATTGTTTTGTGAATCACTAGATTCATCATATGTACTTTTAGACTCCTCTAAAATAGGTTCCAGAATGGTAGTTTTCATTTCGCGACGCTTTTGTGGTGACTTTCTTGGACTACTACTACCTACTTTGTCGTAATCTTCGCAGTATACGTTTATTGGTACAGAATAATCTCTTATGTCTTTCTCGACCAGATCTTTGACGGGACTCTCATATTGTATTTCTTCAAATTCCATCTCATCTATAAAGCTATGGTATTCGCCCTCTGTTGTATTCAATGTATTGTTTGTTATATCTTCCATTTCGGCGCTTATAGGAACCACTTCCGCTCTGTAAAAGTCAACATCTATATCCTCTTCAACCTTTTCATTATCTACTGAGGCAATTTTCATTTCATCACCATTTGTATTTGGTTTAATCGGTGATTTTTCAATCACAGTCTCGTTTGTTGACACAAAACTAGTTCCAATATCACCCAAATAATTATCTTCTGTAAACTCTTCACTATCAACAAATTCAGTTACCTCTTTTCCTATTTTATACACAGGTAATTCCTTCTCCTTAACTTTTACAACGTTTGTTTCCAGATTAGATTCTTCAGAAAATTTCTGTGGTATATTATCCACTGAGAAATATATTGAAGTTTGTTTTGTTTTTAGACTGTTGGTCTGTCTGTCATCTTTATTCAACTCCCATGCGTATGAATTGTTATTTGCACCACACGAACGACATCTAGGTAAATGATAATGAACCGGGTGGGGGTCCCTAATAAAATTATTTATAAAACCACCATGTGATGTGGTTCTGTATAATCCATTTGTATTAATACTTCTTACCCTTTGCCTAGGCAGCGATCGTGTACGGAAGACATAATCTGTTTTACCCTTACCATCCCACTCTAGTGAAGGTATGGAATATAGACTAGAACGACTACTGGCGTTGCCTGGAAAATCTAAAGCGTCTATTACCACTTCTTGAGACAATTTCGTATTAAGACTAATTTTACATTTGGGATCTTTTTTACTATTATCTGTATATTCTACAGGATATTTTGTGGGAATCGTATTGAGTGTATTAACTTTTTTCAGACTATTATCATCAGAGACGACGCTTTCATACATTTTAATGACTTTATCGAAATTGGCATTACGAGTATAATCGTGTTTTGTACGTTGATTAGCTGAAAGTGCTTCGTCCGGATTAGCTTCTTTACTTTTACCTGGTGAGCAGGGCAGATAATTAATAGCAAGCAACATAAAATATACAAACCAACTTTGTTAAATGAAGAATATTTTGTTTTTTTATGTAAATGGAATGGCATTAAAGCTGACGATCTACATGATCGTTGTCTATATGCATGAACAGCACCTCGGACATCATGTGACGCCTGTGGTACTGCTTATGGATTGTTATTTGGGAGGACTAAGATCTCACGCATCTGTATCCTATAATGTCATTGCTGTACCTCACCCTTCAACCAGAACTGCTTACAAAGCTAGCTGGTTGATAGCAAAAATAGAGGAAATTGAGGTACTCACGCATACGACTACTAAAAAAGACTATTTCGCAGACGATTTCGATTAAAATTTTATTGATATAAATAAATGCAATATAAATAAATAAATATAAATAGATACAAGTTAAACTACATAAACATATATATTAAAAAATGTAGCATTGAAATTAAAAATCAAAAACTATACAGCCGAGCATGTAAATGTCTCAGAGCAATTCACAATAACATTAAGATTGATAATAGTCGGCGCTGCTCTCACGAGAATTGAACCAATTATTAATCAATATAACAACCTGTGATTATTCTACAACACAAAAGAAGAGTTAAAACGCTTTCACATAGAAATTAAAACAAAATTAGTCTATGCCAACAATTACTTTTTTCTCGAACTATTCTAAAGCTATCGACCGCAGCTGGCCTTCACAGCTTCACCGGAGGGTAAGGGGCGAGTGCACTTGGCACTCCAAAGCCGTAGATGGACTACGGAGCGGCTGAAGGTGAAATGTCTCCTGACTAATACTACTTTAGTCTGAGAGCACCGCTAGGGGTTCAAAACTTGGCTCAGGCCGCCGTAATTTCGATCTTTGTTTGAATTGCGATCGATCACAGACAAAACAATTTCTTCAATATAGCGTACTTAGAAAAAATTCTGTTAGAGAGCTTCATAAAAAATATTTAGTCCCCGGTGAAGTAAGTCTGGCAAATAGAGCATCCAAGAAAATATTATTTGGACGTAACTTAAAGGATATAAAAATGAGTACAGACACAAATATATTAGCCCATAACGATGATTATTGAGGTTGCGAGGCAAAAGTAAGATTTTGGTAAGTAATGTGGTGGAAGAAGACGAAATATGTCCGCTAAAATCAATGCCACAGATTTTATGAAGTTGACCAATACCAGTTCCAAAAATTCAACTCCAGCGGACATGTACCAAATGATAAAAAGCACACAAGAACTATACGTAATGAGAAGAACTATACGTAGGGAAAAGGACAGAAGCGAGATGATATAACACTCATTTGGTAACACTCACTATACTTGGTTGGCAACACACGATATAACTGATTAGAATAATGAGATGAACGACTGCAAAACTGCAACGAACAGAACTTGAACAGAATTTAGCAAACAAAGAACGATACTTTGGACTGCTATGGGGGGGAGAGGGCGGAACTAAGATGACACAACACACTTGATAACGCACGATGTAACGGATTAGAAGAATGAGGGTACCTCATTCTTCTTACAGACAGACACGAACAAGAATGAACGGGATTTTTAGAGTACTTTGGACAATGCTGAAGGAAGGGATGCGGGGAGACGAGGACGTAAGCGAAATGATACAACGCACAATTGGCAAAACACGATGTAACAGATTAGAAGTATACAGCAACGAACAGATCAGTATTTAACAAACAGGATGGAACAGGAATCTTTGGGGTACTTTAGACAATATTGAGAGAGAGGGGAGAAGAGGGTGGAAGCAACACACACTTGGAAACACACGATATAACGGATTAGAAGAATGAAGCGACTGCAGACAGCAATGAACAAGAGTATACCAAACAAAGGAAAGGAAAGGATTTTTAGGTAGAGTACTTTGCACATTGAGGGTAGGACGTAAGTGAGATGATACAACACACACTTGGCACCACACTATGTATCGGATTAGAAAAATGAGACGACTGCAGATGAGATGAGAACACACATTTGGCAACACACTAAACACTCCATGTAACGACTTCGACGACCCTCTCCTCGTTTTACATAGACCACAACAACGACAACTCACCTCTAACGACTCTTTGCTGTACGGGTAACTGGGCCCTGACCGCAACGCCATGTGCCCTGCGGGGCGGAGCGGCCGGTGGGGGATCCGCGAAGACCTCATCGTCAGAGAGGAGGTTCGGGTCCCGACGTGCTTTGTGATTAATTTAATTCATTTAGCGCATCGTAGTAACAAAGTGATAGGGGTCACCATTTCGAAATTTGTGAAGGTAGACTTAAAACGGTTTTGCCAACAAATGTATTTCTTCTTTTTCAAATAAAATCAAATGAAATCAAAAATCATTTATTCATGTAAGATATTTTCGCTGCCGTGTTTTTGTACCAAAATGCTTGTAAACCAGACCATAAATATATTTAAACATAACATTTAATTATATGTACAAATTCACCTTTCATTGAAACTTTGAAAGTAGAACAATCCCTTAATACAGGCTAGGAGATTGTCACAAATGTGGTCTAGAGGGCCCAAGTCATGACTTCCACAACATCCATTCTAGAAACTGGATGGGCTAAATGACCTAACTTAATTTTCATCCCAACATCCCTTCACTGGTGACCCGAGATTAAAAATTCATTACAAGCCTTACCCTGACTACCGTTGAAAAATATCTCTTATCATTAGTAAATTTAAGAGTTATAATAGCATAAAGCATTTTAGGAAATTATTTCGTCAATACATAAACTGCAAGCTCAAACCCAAATCACACCACATCAAAAACCATCACTATCAAGAACCCACTATCATTATCACGCTTAAGATCTCACTATCACGATCTTATTTTGTATAAGTGTGATATCATAAATAAAATTACACAACAAAATATTCTTACATTAAGATGAAAAACTCGTAACAATATCCAGAACCCACCATCACAATCCTATCACGTTTCTGAACCTATTAACACTGTAGACGTATCACACTCTACTAACATGACCATGAGTATATGATAAATAGTTTTGTATTTTGAATAATACAATATATGTTGATATGAAAATAGAAACACGAACACCTATCCCATTACCGTATGGAATCCAGCGTCACACTTTGTATCCCATCATCAAGCTAGAACTCACCATCACAGTAAAACCCACCATCACGCAAAACCCCAGTATCACGGTTTTAACCCACTATCACGATAAAACCCACTAACACGCTAGAACCCACTATCACTGTCTCACCTAGAGCCTTTCTCTGTACGTGCAATACGATAGACCCAGATGGTGATGACGCTGTGGTCACATCCGATGGTAAGAACACCTCATCATCTAACAGCAGACTGGGATCTCTGGACGCTTACATCAGAAAATAATTTTGATAGCTAGATAAATAGTTCTAGGTGTTTCTATGTAACTTCAAATCAAACCAAATCAAATCCTAATAACGTGTTTATTCATATCTAATTACAGATACGACAAATCAAATCTGCAGTCACTTCTGGAAGTGGTTCGAGCCAAGAATGCTATATTTCAATGCTTGCACCATACATGGTATTGAACTATAAACGGTTATTTCTATATTACAAACAGATACTCCAATTTTATACTGTATACTGTTGGAAAATTGGAGTGTCTGTTTGTAATATTCAAATAATCGTTTTTTACTACATACATATGAATATAATATGGTACATAATAACATTTTTTACAATTTTTCTCTGTCTGTCTGTCAGTTTGTTACGGCTAATCTCTGAAATGGCTGGACCGATTTTGACGAGACTTTTATTGGCAGGTAGCTCATGTAATAGGGAGTAACTTAGGCTACTTTTATTTTAGAAAAATAAATTAAATTCCACGCGGACGAAGTCGCGAGTACAGCTAGTATCACATAATTTAGTTTATTCTTCAGTCCAGATAAATAAATTTCTGTTTCGTGTTTTTTATTTTAACTACTGACCAAATACCGGTTAATAAACGAAGCAATATCGTTAAATATATTATTATTATTATTATTGTTTAATATTAAACAATTCCCCATAAAAACCCACCCATTTCATGCACAAGCGTAAAATCCACACTAACCTCGGCTCTGGTCGGCGTGCACTCGTTCCGCATTCAGGAAATCTGTTGTATCCGCTAAAGAAAACCAACATATCACATATATGTAAATATAACTACGTACTTGCAATAACACTGTGCTTGAGGTAATAAAATAACATTGGACAATTAACACAGCGCCATCTAGTCCCGAGCTATTTTAGTCGGGACTACTCTAATGCCGTTGGCCGCAGCTGGCCTTTTTGATATAATAAAATAACCAACAAATAACATTGGACAATTAACACAGCGCCATCTAATCTCAAGCTATTTTAGTCGGGACTACACTAATGCCGTTGGCCGCAGCTGGCCTTTTTGATATAATAAAATAACAAACAAATAACATTGGACAATTAACACAGTGCCATCTAGTCCCAAGCTATTTTAGTCGGGACTACTCTAATGCCGTTGGCCGCAGCTGGCCTTTACAGCTTCACCGGACGATATGGAGCGGGTGCAGAATTGTTAAAGTTTATATGAAATGTCTAGTACTCGTAACAGAAGCTGGCGCTGTGTGAAATAAATTCAGATATTTTTATTAATAATGGCTCCGTTTAGTAGTGATCAAGTAACAGACAAATTGACAGACACACTTGCACATTTATAATATTAGTACCTATTTTAAAAATATTAATTATAGTTATCTTTTTACAGAGAAATAAACTTTGAACTGAAAATTGACGACCTCGATGGTCTAGCGGTCTAGCATACTGCTTTACGTCCGATGGTCGCGGGTTCGATTCCTCGCACGGCACAAACATTTGTATTCATGAGTATGATTGTTTGTATCGGTCTGGATGTTTTCTATGTATAATATGTATTTAAGAAAAAAAATATATCTATGTATTTGTATCAGTTGTCTAGTACCCGTAACACAAGCTATAGCTAACTTAACTTGGGACTAGATGGCGCTGTGTGAATTGCCCTGAGATTATTATTATTAAATAAATATAATTTATTAACAAGATTTTAAATAACATTTCTAAAATCCATAACTATCCATGTGCACAGTTTTATTGCAAGCAAGTGTTTTCCAAAACAATCCATAGTACAACAGCCGACAATCTACTTCGACGGTTGTACTAAAAAAATAATTAAAAAAAAAAGTATTCATAACCATAAACCAAGTCCACAGATTACATGACTCCAAAAGTTATTTACTCTGTATATTTAAAAAAAAAGTGTATAAAAAAATATATAAGTGTAAATATATATATATACAAACACATTGACGATCATCTTAGTGGTCAGCAGTCACCGTCGCATTATAGACTTGCAACGTCCGTGGTACTCATGCCTTACCACCCCTAAGGCATAAGGCTTCATACAACCCTTTTTTTTTTTTGGAGAAAATCCCTCATGGAGACCCGCCGGCCCACAACCCTAGTACAACCTTTCGAGTCACTAATCCACGGACAAGGAGTCGAAATCATGCATATATTTTTGAATTTGGATGCAAAAACCAAAATGAACATGCCAAAAAACATTTCAATCGCTAACTTTCAATGCATGATGCAAATCATAACCAATATACATATAATGCAGAGCTTTTATATTATAGACGTCTATGAGTTACGTCATACTACTTTCAAGTCAACAGTGTGACCAACTGTGACATCCCCGTCCTTGTCACAGTTTATCACAACGTTGATATTACAACTCCCTAGTGTGACGTCACATTGGCAATTTTAGGTCTAGGAAATCCAGTCAAATTAAGTAACAGTTTCGATATTGTACGAAGATATAAATTTTAATCTTATGCCTGTACATATAAAGTATGTATTTGTTTAATAGTTATTTATAATAAATAGTAATAATAGTGAAAAGGTACAATATTTCTAATATTGTACCAAGAATTTTAACCTTATCCTCGTACATATAGAGTTAGGTTTAGTTAATACTTATTTCGCGATTTAATTCTACTGAAATGTGACGTCACGTAACTTAGAAGTCAATTTAACCCTTGTCACACTTTGTCAACACCCTCAATGTGTGACGTAGTTTGTCACACATTGTCACACTTCGTCAACCTCCTCATTTATGTGTGATAAAATTTATGGATGCCCCCTAATTATAAAGTACATACTACACTACATACAATTATATATGAATCATAAATATATGTAGTGTAATATGTAATAAAGTATGACCCTGTGAAAAACAGGCCATGTTTAGGCAGGCCACAACCTACCCTATTCAGAGAACCCAACCAAAACGGTGCCCCATTTAGACTCATGAACCCTATAGGGCCATGAAAAACGTTGTTTACTATCCCCACTTAGAACCCAACCATCTGGAGTTCGAATCCGACCAAAACTAAAAATATTATAAATACAAAAAAATATATTTTTCGTGTTTCATATACATTATTTATATTCTTAACCGGGTAGAAATGAATAAAAACATGAACAATTTTTATGGTAAATAAAGGGAGAGAGAGGTAAATAGCTTTATTTACCACAAAATTATTCTTGTTAAGACCCGGTTAAGAATGTAAAGATAATATCAATTTACAACTGACAGATTCTAGTGATAAGAAATACTGATAATAAATCTGAGAGACGGCAGCAGGCTCGCCCGATGCCACGTTGGATTCAAATATACACAGTGAAATGTGGGCATGTCAAGTGTTGCGTTCACCACCACGTCCATCCTCGACTATGCCTTGACAGTTGATTTTTTTACTGTCAAGTTATGAGATGAGATGTTATATGATGAGAATGAAGTCAGGTTACTTCTAGATTAGTAGATTACCAGATCTATAATATATAGAGTGTCAAACGTCGCCCAGATACATGAAAAGTACCCAAAGACATCACCCAACTGCCTGTGCCTTCATGTTATCCTGGTACTTTCACTGTATCACACTTATTATTTTATAAGAGAATGAATAACTTGATTTGATTCTCATCCTATCCTACACTGGTGCCCCGCCAGCGTATACCGTTAGCTCTGGCGGATACACCATTCCATTGTCATCCAATAAAAAAAATATCTAGGTTCTCGACTATCGCCGGTAATCTTGGTATGTACGGGCCTAAGCCAAGTACACAATAATGTTCTATTTTTAGGTGAATATAAAATATATGTTTATCTGTTGACATGCTCAAATTCCGATGTTCCCTTAATACATTTGGACTCTTAACGTGGCAGGGGTGAACCGACCGCCGTCTCTCAGATTTGGTCCATAAAAAAAAAACAAAACTCACCGTCGCTCAGCACAACTTCCGGCTGGCTTCGAATAGGAACTTGCTTGGTTTCTATTCTTAATACGCGGTGTTCTGTTGATGAAATTGTTTAATTAATATTTCATAACACAAATTCAAATTTACTAATCATTACATAGTATAAAACAAAGTCGCTGTCGCTGTCGCTGTCTGTCCGTCCGCTTAAATCTTTAAAACTACGCAACGGATTTTGATGCGGTTTCTTATAGAGTGATTCAAAAGGAAGGTTTATATGTATAATACATGTGTTAGGGCCGGCAACGCGCACGTGACACTACTGGTGTTTCAGGCGTCCATAGGCTACGGTAACCATTTACCATCAGATGGGCCGGCTTGTTTGCCACCATTGTAGTATAAAAAAAAATGTAGACCCGTGCGAAGCCGGAGTAAGTAGCTAGTTAATAGTATTAATTTATTTATATGTTAACGATTTTGGGTATAAAATGTTAATGAAGACACGGCTCTTACAAAATCTGCTTGTATGAAGCGTACAAAACTTTACATATAAAAATTACGTGTCACGTTGTTTGTACTCACTCTCACTCAGGGGGAGTTGTTAGTAATATGGACTACTGATCTAGCAATGTGCCATGTCAGGTTGACCTCCACGCGGTTCCCCCGGAAACCATCGTGATAAATTCCCGGTGAATTTATCACGATGAGCTAAATGGCCTGACCTCATGCTCATCCTATCATCCTCCACTGGTGCCCCGCCAGCGTAAACCGCTAGCGCAGGAGGGTATACCATTCCATTATCATCATCGCAGACCGGAAGACGTCCACTGCTGGACATAGGCCTCCCCCAAAGATCTCCACGACGATCGGTCCTGCGCTGCTCGCATCCAATGCCTTGCCGCGATCTTGACCAGATCGTCAGTCCACCTTGCTGGAGGCCTTCCCACGCTGCGTCTTCCGGTCCGTGGTCGCCACTCGAGGACTTTACTGCCCCAACGGACATCTGTCCTACGAGCTATGTGCCCTGCCCATTGCCACTTCAAAGTCGCAATTCTTCGGGCTATGTCGGTCACTCTGGTTCTTCTGCGGATCTCCTCATTTCTGATTCGATCACGCAGAGAAACTCCGAGCATAGCCCTCTCCATTGCCCTCTGAGTGACTCTGAGCTTGTTGATGGGGCCCATAGTTAGCGACCACGTCTCTGTTCCATTATCACCTATAAAAAAAAAACAGTACTCACCGTCCCTGGACTCCTCCTCTGTGTCTGTGGCGGGGGAGGTCACCATCGCCGCGCTGATCGGCTCCGACTCAGACAGGTCTGTGTCATCTGTGGAACGGACGGGAACATTTTTATTTTTTTTATTGGGTTGTTTGGGCTATTGTCAGATACCTGTAGCACTGCGACCTACATAGATCTATTGTGCTCGCCCTTTTTCAGAGTTCGCTACCTAGACCCGTCAGAGACAAGAATTGAAGGATATCCTTAGTAGCGATGGTTTTTATCTCCTCGGGAAAGAGTGTAAACTTTCCAAAGGAGATATTACGTTTATACATGAGTGGGCTACAACCACATAGGATGTGTAGTGGCGTTTCCTCTTTACATTACATTCATGTACTAACTTCCTGGTCTGTAGCACCTATTGTGTACAGATGTTTGTTGATGGTGATGAGGATGATGATGCCTTATTACTCAAAGATAAACCTAGTTTAGCATTATTAATAAACTATTGACCAAAGTACGACACGTGTGGAATGTTTACTTTGTTACTTCATATTACAACAGCTACCTGCCAAAAAAAGTCCCGTCAAAATCGTCCAGCCATTTCGAAGATTAGGCGGAACAAACAGCAGACAGACAAAAAATTGTAAAAAATGATATTTTGGTATGTACCGTATTTATATTCATATGCATATAGTGAAAAACGGTTATTTCAATATTACAAACAGACACTCCAATTTTATTTATATGTATAGATGAGGTTTTGTACTCATCATCGTCTGCTTCTTCCTTATCCCATTTATTTGTGGTTAGCGTAACGTTTTTCTCTTACATTCATCCCTGTTCGCAGTCATCTCGTTATTTACTCCCTTTCTTACCATATCATCTTTCACACAGTCCATTCATCTCTTTTTCGTTCTTCCTCTACCCTTATAACCATCCACATTCATATGTAATACCGACCTGTACTTTTTACTTTGTAATAAATTTTATTCCACACTCCTTTCTGGTTTCTTCAACATACCTGTCCACCTAACGTGACAAGTATACCTAATTACAAAACGAAGTTTATCTCTAAACCGTGATTCGTCTATGGTCTAAATTTAGACCGATTCAAGTATATCGTTCAGTGAGTTTTACTTAGTAACCTAACCCAACACCCTTCCACACTTACATACACACACACACACACACACACACACAGTCTTTTACAGTAGAAACAAATTCTTAATATAATAATAAATAACCCTAGAAGAGCGTGATCTCCTATCACAAGTATTTAATTATGCTTACAAGGAGATCCCAGCCCCGGCTTAAGGAAATATATAAATAAGAATATGTGATTGTTGATATGTAAAAAAAAAATAATTGTAAAACATCTATGTTAATGAAATAAATTATTATTATTATTAATAATAAGGTTAGATTCTGCCCGCATTGTACGCCGGTTTCTCTCCCTGGGGCCCTGAACCCCGGCCGACTGTGCTTCTGCCGGGGGTAAGTTGCCATCTCCTCTCCTTAAGAGGGGAGATGAGAATTTGTTTTAAATAAAAATAATAATAATACTAATCTCAGGACAATTCTCACAGCGCCATCTAGACCCGAGTTAAGCCAACTAAAGGTTATGTTATGGGTACTAGATAACTGATACGAATACATACAATATTTTTTTTCGTAAATACATAAATATTATACATAGAAAACACCCAGACCGACACAAACAATCATACTCATGAATACAAATGTTTGCACCGTGCGAGGAATCGAACCCGCGACCATCGGAAGTGAGGCGGTGTGCTAAACCGCTGGACCACCGAGGTCGTCAAAGTTATGTACATACATTCGTTCCCGCGCTGTTTCCTCTCCACGACGCGTCTGTACTCGTCGATTTCGCGGTCGGTGACTTGGTCGAACGGATTTCTAGCATACGGCGCGCTGTATACGGTAGCGTTGTGCTGGTAACCGCGCTGGATGATGCCCTTCGACGCCGCACCCATCAGCACCTGAGATCAGGACGTAATTACCACAAAGCCTACGGTTACATCGCCGTCTTAAAATAGGCTGGGGCCCTTGAGCCCACAAGATTACGGGGCCCTTTTGGAAAGCAAAAAAAAGCTCATTAGGTATAGGAACAATTATATTACTGATTTGTGAAAACAGTGTAGTGTGTCCGACAAAAATCTTTTAAGAATAAATGTGTGAGAAAAATTTTCAGTCCTTCGGGGGGCCACTGAGAATGGGGTCCCGGGGCAGGGGCCCCGTGTACAACATGAACATATAGATGATCTTCCAAGTGGATGCTGACACTTATCAGGCTAGCCGTTAGCTTTATTGCCATAAATAACATGTAATCCTTACTAATATTATGAATGCGAAAGTAACTCTGTCTGTCTGTCTCGCTTTCACGCGAAAACTACTGAACCGATATATTATGAAATTTGATACGTAGATAGTCTAGGTCTTGAGAAAGAACAGGCTACTTCTTGAAGCGAACGAAGTCGCGGGCACAGCTAATACTACAAATAAAGTACCAGGGCAACATGAAGTTATAGGTAGTTTGTTGAACAATATATATATATATATATATATATATATATATATATATATATATATATATATATATATATATATATATATATATATATATATATATATATAGTATTAGGTGTTATGCTGTTCATTTATATAACAACAACTATACCTTCCATTAGGTGGGTCTGTCGATCTTCTGTTCAGACACCCAGCTGACACAGACAAGGCTAGCCGTAAGCGTAGCTTGTTTGCCATAAATAACATGTAATACTGCAATGGGAGTACTAGGATAACATGAAGTATATAGCAGATGTAGCTTCCATTATGTGGTGATCAGATACCCATGGCTAGTAGGGTGGTACTCACTACATGGTCTCCCTTGTGGGTGCTACACTGATCAGGCTAGCCGTTAGCTTGTTTGCCGTGAATAACGTGTAACACTACAATCAAAGTACCAGGAGAACATAAAGTACATAGCAGCAGGTGCTCCATTAGGTGGTGGTTAGATAGGCAAAGGTCCAGATGGTACTCACGACATGATCTCCGGTGTGGGTATTAACAGCATCCTCTCCGACCAGCTTAGCGGCTTCATCCCACGTGACTCCCTCCAAGATGTGAGACTGTGGTCCAGCGCTTATCTTATCCGCGCGGCGATTGTCTTTGATCTATTCCGAATTTACTTAATTAATCACAAAAACATAATACATAGAATAGAATAGAATAGAAAATCATTTATTCAAATAAACTTACATTGAAGCACTTTTGAATAGTCATAACTTTTTTTTTTTAATCTACCGCTCATTCGGAATGCTGTCTCATCACAAGAAGAACAAGCAAGAAACTTGTGTGTTGCTCTTTTAAATAATTTATTCTTACTTACAATTTAAGTTTAAGTGTGTGAATACAAACCACCGATTAGCACTAATTCAATTAAATACTCAAAAAGAAAAAAATATTGAATACATAACCAACTGGTTAAACAATTAATAAGAGGAAATCAGTCATAGTGATTAGAGCAGACCAGTCCCTACAAGCATAGACAATAGACTATAAATTTTCATTCAAATAAATAAATATACCACGAGGTCGAACGCAGCGATGAGCCAGCCATCCGTCATACTCGTGAACGAGTGCTGCTTGTATGGACTGGTCTGTTCTAATCACTATGACTGATTTAATGGTATTTCGTTACACGACCAGTTGATTGTATATTTCTTACCAATAAATTAGTGCTATTTGGTAGTTTGTATTCATACATTTCAACTTAAAAGAGCAACACGCAAGTTTCTTTCCTCGTTCTGGACTACTCTAGTGCTGTTGGCCGCAGCTGGTTACAGCTGCAACGGACGATAGGGGGCGAGTGCAGATGGCACTCCAAACCAAAGGTAGGACTTATAGAGCGGCTGAAGGCCAACTCCCGCCTGACGGATACGACTTTAGTCTGAGGGCACTGATAGGAGTTTGGACCTCGGCTCAGGCCGTTCTAATTTTTTTTCTGTTGTTTTTGACGGATTTGTTGTAAATGTAATATCATCATTCTGTCTCCCTTCCTTTCTTCAACCCCGTCCAAAATTTGCCTTCAATCCAAGCAAATCGAGTCATTAGACATTTATGACGCCTTACTACAGATGGTCGCGGGTTCGATTCATCGCACAGCACTAGCATTTGTTGAATACAAATGTTAGTGCCGTGCGAGGAATAAAAAAAACTCTACGGCGGTATAGTGTTAGTAGACTCACGTTACGTTAGTTCCGTTGGTCGCAAGTTCGATTCTTCGCACGATTAAATTCATGAGTTTTATTTCATTATTCATGAGTATGATTGTTTCGGATTGACTATTTTCTATGTATAATATGTATTTACAAAAAAATATATATGTATTTGTATCAGTTATCTAGTACCCATAACATAAGCTTTAGTTAGCTTAACTTGGGTCTAGATGGCGCTGTGTGAATTGTCCTAAGATTATTATTCTGACGTAATCATTTACGATTATCAACCCTAATGCATAGGGACCTCCAGGTTTTTAAATTATTTTCAATTACTAAAAGAAATATAAATACATACCTGTTGCTGAAGCTGTTTGAACTCTTTTGGATTCGTGTTTTTAGGTACAAATTGCAGTGTGTCAATCTTGAGGGGTGTGCTGGAATGCGCCGGCGATCCATCTTGTACCCACTGACGTTCACAACACGGTCGAGTTTCCGTTGCACATTCGTGTCGTAGAGGGAGAAAAAAAAATGAAAAAATTAGTAAAAATGTTGCCAGCGCGTATCGACGTGTATTTAAATATGGCTTAAAAATATTAAATACATGTCAATTTAGGAAAGAGGGTTATTTTTGGATAGAATTAGAAGAAGTGCATGAAAATGATCAGGAATGTATAAAATATGAGATATATATTGCAAATATCCATTCTGGTTAGCATCGAGCATGTACAGTACAGATTTCAAAAGAAAAAAAACGCCATACAACATCATGCAAAGCAGTGTAACTAAATATATTAAAAAAAACATTTTTGTCACACAAAAACATTTAAATTTGCTTTAGGGACAGCGATATGGGAAAGAAATAAAAAAGGTCATGATGGAAGAATGGGAGTTTCATCTGGCAACATTCAAACCAATATTTTCTTTCTTTTCCTTACACTACACTGTACAGACTCGATTTTTTTTGTTGTAAACATTATTTACTTTTTGTTATTAAATAAAAATTGTTTTAACCAGGGTAGGATAATGAAATGCTGTTGAAATTATTGTTTTTTTAGTAAAAGCTCCAGTAATAGAATGGTATGTTGATAAAAAAATATATTTTTAATAATTGAAGCGTATTATTATAAGCCCCCTAAGCTTTACTAACACCAACGATATAATAACAAGAAATCATAATAATAAAGTTCATAGTCCATCCATAAATTAAACCACACCAGAGAGTATTAGTAACTAGCTGTACCCGCGACTTCGTCTGTGGAATTAAACTATGTTTTTCTAAAATAAAAATAGCCTAAGTTACTCCTTATTACATTAGCTACCTGCCAATAAAAGTCCCGTCAAAATCGGTCCAGCCATTTCAGAGATTAGCCGGAAAAACAGACAGACAGGCAAAAATTAAAAAAAAATGACATTTTGGTGTATGTACCGTATCTATATGCATGTAGTAAAAAAACAGTCCCGTCAAAATCGGTCCAGCCATTTCAGAGATTAGCCGGAACAAACAGACAGACAGACAGAAATTGTAAAAAATGACATTTTGGTGTATGTACCGTATCTATATAAATGTAGTAAAAAAACAGTCCCGTCAAAATCGGTCCAGCCATTTCAGAGATTAGCCGGAAAAACAGACAGACAGACGAAAATTGTAAAAAAATGACATTTTGGTGTATGTACCGTATCTATATGCATGTAGTAAAAAACTGTTTTTTCACTATTACAAACGGACACTCCAATTTTATTTATATGTATAGACGTGGACTGAAGACCCATTGCTAGCAATATACTATGTCAATTTGACCTCCAAATGGTTGTATTCATATGCCCTGAAGGTAGGTGTCAACCGACGCCTATATATGAACAGTACCAAACACATCACCCAACTGCCTGTAACTTCATGTTATCCTGGTACTTTCACTGTATCACACCTATTATTTTATAAGTCCGTGAACTGATCTAACTTCATGCTCATCCTATCATCCTCCACTGGTGCCCTGCCAGCGTATACCGTTATCGCAGGCGGGTCCAGCATTACATTATGGAAGACCTTCGGTTCTATAATGTATGGAGTGTCAACCGTCGCTTATATATATGAACAGTACCAAAGACATCACCCAACTGCCTGTAACTTCATGTTATCCTGGTACTTTCACTGTATCACACTCATTTATAAGAGGATGGAACTGACCTGAGGATGTTAGAATCAGTATGAGACTCATCTTATCATCCTCCACTGGTGCCCCGCCAGCTTCAACCATTAGTGCAGGCGGGTAAATTACCATTAATAAAAAAAACAATTTTAGTCATTTTACCCCCTTTTTTATACTAAATGAATACTGTGCATGAATAAATGATTTTTTAATTTGAATCCATTTTTTGTATACTACGTAAGTAGCAAACAAGGATACGGCCCATCTGATGGTATACGGTTACCGTAGCTTATGGGCGCTTGAAACATCAGCGGGGTCACGCGTTGCTGACCCTTAAGAAACCCTAATATACCCTTTCTGACCCCTTTAACTTGTGCCGTAATTTATGGATAGAACTTTGTCCTAGTTTATATCTGATGACTTTGATTATCGTTAAGAAAAAAAAAAAAATTTAACACGTGACAACAAAAAAGATATCAAAAAAAATTCCTTAATACAACACGGATAACAACAAAAATATTATTTGTAACAACAAAAAATCTTTAATTCGCAAAATTTTCTCCCAACGGTAAACAAAGTCTTCCGATATATCGATATTTATGTTTGTTGTGAGTGACCGATATTCCGATACTGTTATAATCAACATTGTGACAGCATCGAAATATCGGAAAATTACAAACATTATATATTTGTGGTATACATTATATTATAAAAAAACTCTACAGCGGTATAGTGTTAGTAGACTTATGTATAGTTCCGTTGGTCGCAGGTTCGATTCTTCGCACGATTGAAATTCATGAATTTTTTATTCGTATCGGTCTAGGTGTTTTCAATATTATGTATGTATTTACAAAAAAAAATTTTGTATTTCTGCCCATTATCTACACATGCTCTGCTTAACTTTGAACTAGATGACGTTGTGTGAATTGTCCTGAATTATAAATTCAATAATAAAAAAAAGTTATAACTTAATAAGATAACAGATTTATATATATAAAAATAAATATTTATATAACAAAACAGGGTTAGAAGTAAAGAGTACAACAAGTTGAAAACCAAAGACAATATTCATGATAATGAAGAACTTTCACGAAGAAACAATTTAATGGGATTTTAAGAGGGTGTGAGTACACGTCCCTTAAGGTCAAGGTCTATGACCTACTTCGTCGAGAACCTGGGAGCTTGTACTGTTGGTTATTTTTTTTTTTAATTTTATTTCTTTATAATTGTTTATTTTTTCTTTTATCCATTACGTATATAATGTTTTATGATTATTATAATTTTACTTTTTATTATTTATATACTTTTTCTCTTGATATTATTATTTTTATTTTAATTGTATAATATCTGATTTATTAAGTTTATGTATATGTATTTTTTAATTGTAATATTTGCGCGTCCGTACTGAGGGCCCAACTGAAAATCAGCGCTGGAAACTATTTCCAGCATTATGATGAGTTGTGGTCCACATTGACTCCGTTTTTTAATGTGTAAATTATTCTTGTATTTCTTATGTTATTACTGTAAAAACGAGTTAATAAAATTCTATTCTATTCTATTCTATTGATAGATCCGAGAGATAGAATAGAAGTGTTTTCATTATAAAAATGTTTGGGCCATATACTAAGTTATACGTGTCGCGTACACGCGCCGCCCCATGTTGTTGTATATAGAAACTTCTTAGTGAGTGACATATAATTAGTGTTAGATATATCAACTCTATGTACTTGTAAAAGTATGTATTAAAAAAAAAAAACAACTATATAACATTAATTTAACTATGTCTCTAACACAATTCACTTTAGCAATTAAAATACAACCAGCACATCCTGTGCTCAAAGACCGGCCTTGTTTTTTTTCGGACTACTCTAATGCTTTTGGCCGTAGCTGGCCTTTACAGCTTCACCGGACGTTATGGGGCGAGTGCAGATGGCACTCCAAACCAAAGGAAGGACTTATGGAGCGGCTGAAGGCCAACTCCTGCCTGACGGATACGACTTAAGTCTGAGGGCACCACTAGGGGTTCGAACCTCGGCTCAGGCCGTCGTAATTTCGATCCCCGTTTGAATTGAACGGGGGAACGATCGGAGGGGCGCCCGGGGGCGCCGGTGTGGAGCGCCCGGGCGCGCGCAGGCGCCCGGTTGAATGCGCGATATTGAGTGTTTGAGGTCGTCGTCTTCGCCGGCGAGGACGGTGTCGTGTGTGTGAGATGCCGCGGCCTACAAAAACCCTCCCATTTATACAGAGAAGATATGAGTGGGGGTTATATGCAACTAGTTTAACGATACCGAGTAATAATGAAACTGCCTTCTTTTAATATAAAATATCAGATTTTCGACAATATCGATATGAACCCTAACATTAGTACTAAAGAATAATAAAGAGATTCTGTCAACATCTCAAACTGATTTCTTATTTATCCAATATTTTTTATATTAAAAACCTTTAATATAATACAGATAACACGTGTAGAAGGTATGCTGTCACAGAATATTGAAAATAATATTTATTTATTTATTTTTTGGGTTTCGGAAAATCAAGGTTATTATATAAACATAATTAAATGAGAACGGCCACTTATAGGTTTTCACGGATAGAAACGTAATATAAAATAAATTACAGTACTAACACGAGAGGCGTGCTTGTGTCATAAATACTCATAAAATCATATATTAAAAAATAACAATCCACTAAATTAAAACATATGCTGAAATTAACAAACAAACATTTTTGAATAATGGAAATGCATGTAAGTAACATTAAATTCGATACTTATAACTCAAAGAATTGCCTGCTCATCACGGCCCTCGCTAAAGATATTCTATCGGAAAACAAATCAATATCTAATCCTTTAATATGTTCGGGTCCTTTATACAATCTGTCACGTGATCAGTTATTTATGAAATTTCAAATTAAATAAGAAATAATTACTTTTAATCAGTAATCATACGTTGTCATTCAGGAGAACGAATGTTCTGTAGTTTTACTGCCATATCTCAACAGCTTAGAAAGCAAGCTGCTTCGCGGCTGAAATAGGTGGAACTGAGTTACACGCAGACGAGTTTTTATGTGTATCGAAAGATATACCCTTTACGACTAAGCCTGTGAGAAACATAAATATATTTATTATTAAAACTATAATATAATTAAAAATAAATAAATATTATAAATAAATAGCTGTTAAAAAGAAATTTTGTGTATATTATAATATACACCATAATATATACAGAAGAAGAATAAAAATAGAACTGTTGGCGAACAACGAAAGAATATTCGACCCATTTACGAAATAGTTAATTAAAAATTAACGAAAAACTTCACAAAAAATGTTATTTACCTCATCGTTGTTAGCGTCCACCCACTGTAAAACATTATAATATTAGTACATACACAAATAATGCAAAAAAAAAAAACAATTAAAAAAAATGTAGTGTAAAAAAATTTCAAAAGCATTTCATTTGTAAGAGACGCCATGTCAATTCAAGTAATAGTTGTTAACTTTTTCACAAATATTTTATTGATTTGTAAACATAGCTCTATAAAGCACAATAGTAAAGCGAAGTTACATCTGTTCAGATTTCAGCAAAATCTTTTTTAAATTATGGCAATTATTTATATCGTAACCTCAACCTTCCAAATCGAAATATACATATAAAATCAATACAATCCTAACCACAGAACTGTCGAGCTACCTTTAATTAGCACTCAACATTTTTATACTGATTTATATGTGAATGTATTTTAATTTATATTTTAACTTAATTTAATATTAATTTTTGATATTATTTGTATTATTATTATTTTTGTGTGTGTATTTTGTGTCTGTAGTCTGCACGTACTAACATTAATTATAAGAAATCTGTAATACTAACAAAGTGTGCAATTAAGCCTGATAATAAATACATTATTATATTATTATTATTATTATTTTAACGGTGCACAAAATTGTGGGTAAAATTTTCGTAGCACTTTTATATTAAAAAATCTCATTTTAGGAAAATATCTTCATGGAGTTGCGAACAAGATTGAGTACCTTGTTTTATAGTACCCGATTTATAAAATTATATACTATTTCGGTAACTTACGATCTTTTTAAATTAATATTTAATTGACTACGTACGGGAATTTACGAAAATTACGACGAATTTTCCGCAAAAGATTCTAAACATGAAGAGACTTCAATTAAATTCCAGTACCCATATAATTATAGAAATATTATTTTATAACGATTCAGTTTCATTTTTTTTTTCAATTTAAAAAAAAAACATAATATTATCATAATGCTTCTTTAAGATAGTACGAAAAAGTTTTTGCTGAAGATCTTATCGCGTTTAGCGAAATAGTATCGACACTTTGATGTCACGCACGATGTTTTTTTTTTCAAAGATTTTCAAAGAAATTCAAAGATTTGTAATTTCCTATGTGTACAACATAGGAAATTACAAATCTTTGAATATCTCGCCTTGATCTATACTATGACACGCATGTATTATACATATACAACAAGCTCATTGCTATTCAAGAAGATTGAATGTCATTATCTTGTTTTTTGCTCTTTACTATAAAGGGTCAGTGATAAAAAATGCAGCATTTTTTTTTTCAAAAATTCGACGTTCTTAACAGCTGAAATGTCCTACATGAATAAATGATTTTCGATTTGTTTTGACCGTGACATCAAAGTGTATATCGACGACAAAACACGTTATTTTATATTTAAAAAAAAACATATATACAATCTAAAAGCATAATATCTTCAAACGCAATTTATATATTAATATCTCTTAATAAATATTGCATAATATAATTATCTGAAAAAAAAAAACTTTTTTTTTTAATTACGACTTTTCCTTCACAATTGCGACATATCTCTATCACTAATATTACATTTTCAAATAATTTTATTACACCTTCATATAATATCTATATCGAATGAATGAGTTTTCGATGATTCTTTTTTTTTATGAAAGAAAAAATTTTGGTATATAAAAAAAATTTGAGCCTTTTGAGCGAGACACTATTGTAGACAAAAATGACCATTTATATTAATGCTATATGACTGTATATATATATATATATATTAAACAGTTTCTGTATATATTATTTTATACTCTCTCTATTCACTATGAAACATTTATATATAGATAATAAAATTAATAAATAAACCTTTTTTGGTGCAAAAAATCTTTACTTAATCAACTAAATTCACTAACCGAAAACCTCAAGATTAAAATAAAAAAAATATAGAAAAAAAGTTGAAAAAAATTGGAATGTGCAAGAAATATACTCTATGCCTGTATTTGTGGCTGTCCGTCTTAAAAAAAATACAAGCGTGACTATGATCATCATTTTCACATGTATAACAAAAATGAAAAAATCTGTTGTTATATATAATTTCGAGATATATTACTAGACTAGCCACTACACGCGACTTTGCCTACGGGACTATAGTAGTAGCTTCCTAGACAGGTCTAAATATAATATACAGTTGATATTGTGATATACCCCAATAACGCTTCGTCAAGACTCGATTTGGCTTCTATATCCTTATAATATGCCATAATGATGTTGGATAGACTCGAACTCAGGACCTCATAAGTTGAATCGCTTAATAAACCAAGATACTGACTACCGTCAAATTGAAGATGATTACGCGTCAAGGAAATTAAAAAAAAATCATGACATTTGAATATATATTCTGTGGCGTTTATGGATTGTTAATATAGGTCCAATGTATGAGAATGCCTGGTCCTGAAAATGTCAGCGAATGCTTGTGAATACTTGAGTAATTAATACATACCCATATATAAACTATATTATTATAAATACATGAAATGCCTTACAAAGACTCAGAAAGCTAATTTGAAAAGAATACGAGCTGAGTTTCTTGTCAGTTCTTCTCATCTCGAAATCATTCCAAACTGACGGTAGATTCGACGTATCATAAGAGTCTGTAATAGACCTACATGAATAAAGATATTTAGATTTTATTTTATTTTAGTAAGGACACAGTTACTTCTCAGTTCTTGGAATGAAAAGAACTGACGGTAGATTTGACATATCATAAGAGTCTGTAATAGACCTACATGAATAAAGATATTTTGATTTTATTTTATTTTAGTAAGGACTCAGTTCCTTCTCAGTTCTTGGAATGAAAAGAACTGACGGTAGATTTGACATATCATAAGAGTCTGTAATAGACCTACATGTATAAACATATTTTGATTTTATTTTATTTTAGTAAGGACTCAGTTCCCTCTCAGTTCTTGGAATGAAAAGAACTGACGGTAGATTTGACATATCATAAGAGTCTGTAATAGACCTACATGAATAAACATATTTTGATTTGATTCATTCTCTATTGCCTGACATAGCCCTTTATTTTGAGTCTATCAAGAAATATATCAATAAATAACGCATTATAAATATAAAACAATGCCTGAATATTTGACATATATTAATATATAAACTATATTAACCCTTCGAATGTTTTGACACAGATCTGTGCGCCCTTCTTAAACCGTATTACAGTGTTGTGACAGATCTGTGCCCGCAAAACCGTGACTTTGTTTAAACCAATTTAGTCCTTATTAAAACGAAATAAGATTGAAACGCATTTGAAAAAATACAGCTGGAGAGCTCATACCGCCTCTTCACTTTCGGTCGCTGGGCCATACGACATACACTCGAAAGGTTAAAATAAATTTCTATATATCCTGACAATGTTTTCTTACAATCAACCTCCAACTGAATTTTGCAATTTTAAATGAAGATGCTATCCACAAATTATATCGCATGAATTTCATATTCTAATTGTTTCATATTCTAACTGTGGTAATAACAGGTTGAGAATCCCCATCATCGTCACAGTTGGTCACATGTCTGACGCTCCCATCACCTCCCTAGTGTGACATATTTGCTTATGCCTATAATCTTATATATAACTATGATTCTATTCTATTGCTTTATCTTCTTTTTGTGTAATGTTATCTCTTACTCATTTCTCATTCTCCCTCAAAATGTGACGCCTCGAAATTTAGTACCTTTGACACATGTCCGGGATGTGACAAATTTGATAATGTCTTTAAACTTATATCAATTACGAGTCTATGCTATTTATTTATCTTCTTTTTATCTCTATCTTACTCATTTTTCATTCTCCCTCAAAATGTGACGTCATTAAATTTAGAACCTTTGACACAATGTCCGGGATGTGACAAATTTGATAATGTCTTTAAACTTATATCACTTACGAGTCTATGCTATTTATTTATCTTCTTTTTATCTCTATCTTACTCATTTCTCATTCTCCCTCAAAATGTGACGTCATTAAATTTAGTATCCCTTCCATCCTTTAACACACTATGGATAAGCCACTCCCTATTTGCTATCTATAGTGACATTTGTTTCTTTATGATTCTATTATATTTCTTATAATAATATAAGAGGACTAGCTGTCACGGCAAACGTTGTTTTGCCATATAAATTAATAACGCTATAAAAAAATAGGGGTTGATGATATAAGGGTGAAAATTTAGCATTGTATGTATTTTTGTATGTTGTATCATAAAAGAATAGAAACTAAATATTGTCTAAAAAATAAAAAAATAAAATTTAGGGGGATGAAAAAGATGTTGGCCGATTCTCAGACCTACTCAATACGCTCACAAAATTTCATGAGAATCGGTCAAGCAGTTTCGGAGGAGTATGGGAACGAAAACTGTGACACGAGAATTTTATATAAGATATCTTTATAATAAGAGGACGGTGAGTTCACATCTTCCTCTTACTCATTCTTCACTCACTCCACCCCAATATGTGACATAAAGAGAAAAGGTTAGTAATGTGGACTTATAACCCCATTGCTAGTATGGTACTATATCATATTGACATCTAAGCGGTACCCCTTGGAAATCGTGATAAATTCCTGGTCAATTTGCCACGATCTGCTAACTGCCTTAACCTCATGTTTATCTTATCATACTCACTGGTACCCCATGTAAACCGTTAGCGTGTACCATTCCATAATCATCCATTAAAAAAACTCATCTCTCTCTCTCTTACTCATTCTCCACTCTCTCCTTCTCAACATGTGATATAATTTTTGGATAGCGTCTAAATAGCCTGAACGTATAAACTATGGAATATTTTTAACATTGACTGAGAGTTGCTAATCTGGTTAGTTTTGTGATCTGTTTAAAATTGCGATATATAGTCTACTCCGCTTCGACCCTCAAGTATTCTACCTTGGTGATTTTCTTGGGGTCGTTGGTGCCAGTTTCCAGGACTTCGACCTTCTGGTAGACATTCGGGGAGTTCAGCCAGCGGGTGCGCTCGCCAGTTTTGCCTTGTCCTTTCTTCCATAATCTGAAATGTGTTTTTTTAAATGAGTATTTTTAAATTTCATGATATTTTAAATGACCCTAAAAACTAGTGGTGGATTGTCAACGACTTTACAATATTGGACCCACCTTTTCAAATGGTTAAAATTTCATCTCCCGCCCTTCCTGGTACTTTTTTTTATGGATGATAATGGAATGGTGCCTCCTCCTGCGGTAACGGTTTACGCTGGCGAGGCTCCTGGTACTTTAACTCTAGCATCACACTAATTATACAAGATTGATTAAGCCAATGATTGGTATCTATACACCTGAATAGCAATATATATAATTACAAAATAAAGAGAAAAAATATCAAAATACATTATAATGTCTCCTTATTAACCTACCTCCATATCTCACTTTTCCAACTACCTATGACTTTATGATATCCTGGTACTTTAAATGTCGTATCATACTACAATTAAACACGATGGTAATTAAGCTTACGGCCCGCCTCATAGAAAGCGACAATCGTCATCCATAGACATAAGAAATCCTATGAATATCCTTTAATACTTGTCCCTGACGGGTTTTTTTTTCGGTCTACTCTAATGCTATTGGCCGCAGCTGGCCTTTACAGCTTCACCGGAAGATCGGGGGCGAGTCCAGATGGCAACAAATGACTCCAAACCAAAGGAAGGACTTATGGAGTGACTGAAGGTCAACTCCTGCCTGACGGATACGACTTTAGTCTGAGGGCACCACTAGGGGTTCGATCCTCGGCTCAGGCCGTCGTAATTTCGATCCCCGTTTGAATTGGACGGGGGATCGATCGGAGGGGCGCCCGGGGGCGCCGGTGTGGAGCGCCCGGGCGCGCGCAGGCGCCCGGTTGAATGCGCGATATTGTGTGTTTGAGGTCGTCGTCTTCGCCGGCGAGGACGGTGTCGTGTGTGTGTGTAAAAGTGTGGTCGGGGTGGAAAACCTGACGGGTCTAGGTAGCGGACTCAGATAAAGGGTGAGTATAGATCTATGTAGGTAGCAGTGCTACAGGTCCAAGCACCTGACAATAGTCTAAAAACCCTAATAAACAATTCAACTCACCCCTGCTTGTAAAGCTCTTCTTCCTCCAAAAGGTACCCCAGTGAGGAAACCGCCGGGGGCACTTCTACGTCATTCTTGGGTTTCGGAACGTCGTTCTGGACAGACAAACACAATAATTTATTTTTTTATGTAATGAAATGGCAAATAAACTAATGTCCCACCTGATGGTAAGTGGTAACCGTCGCTACATACATGTACAGCACTACGAACATCACGTTATCATGTGACGGCCGTGATACTATATTATTTCCTACTGTTCTTAAATTATTTATTTATTTATTTTATACTAGCAGTGCCCGCGGTTACACCCGCATGTAATGTATATCCTGTGTTATTTTTATGCATAAGCTATATTACTGTAAAGTTATGTCAAAATCCGTTCAGTAGTTTTTACGTGATAGAGTAACAAACATCCATACTCACAAACTTCCACATTTATAATATTACTAAGATTTGCACATTATGTATGTGTATACAATAAAATAAATTAACAAGACACAGTTTAAATACCTCGTTACTACCGATGGTAGCAGGTTCTATTCTTCTCACACTTGTTGCCCCTGGAGTTGCCAGAGCAAATAACAATTATTTATTTATTTCTCAGAATATGGTATATATATTGATGGTAGGAAAGTTTCATTATATTCTGTTATTTCCAAAGGGACCCCGAGGTCCCTACCTTCAACCTCTAGGGAGGTTAGTAGATTTAGGGGATCAGTAGGAGAAAAAACAGACACAATGCATCTACTTTGTCTGTTTTACTCTTTGTATTTTGTTTTTGAGCGTTCAGTTCAGGTCAGTTTTTTAAGATTATTGTACCTTGATTAGTGGATTCCTGTAGATGTATCCTGTGCGGAAGCCAGCGTTGTCCAGCATACGCATCAGAGCCTCGAACTCTTCCCCACCTACCCGCCACTTGTTAGCATCAGAGGGAGGCTTGCGAGACGCCTCGTAGATCTGTAAACAAAGTGACAAATTAGAAACATTGATTAAAGGTCGTAAATTCGAATCTTGTTCAAAGAAATTGTACCTACACTTGTAATAAATCGTCCGGAAGGTCGTGAATTCGAATCGTTGTACCTACAGTTGCAATATTTCTGTCACTTAAAACCCTTTCATTAATGAAAGGTCGTATATTCGAATCTTGTTCAAAGAAATTGTACCTACACTTGTAATAAATCGTCCGGATGCCGTAAATTCGAATCGTTGTACCTACAATTGTAATATTTCTGTCACTTAAGACTCCAGATAACATACATTTAAGTTCAGTGTAAAGTCAGCCCACGTTACGACTCCGCGTCAAATGTACGCGTTACTAATAAGCCATGTAGCACACTATCAAATAAACTTACTAATGTACAATAAATAGTACAATTATTACAGCTGTTTACTCACTACCTATATACAATAAACAATATATTATGTAGCGACACCTCATCACAACATATACAACGCTACAGTGAGTTGATAACCATTGCGTTACAAAATTTTTATATTACAATTCATATTTCTAATTCTAGTATTAATATTAGACTAGCTGTAGCCGCGACTTCGTCCGCGTGGAATTTAACATTATTTTTCTAAAATATAAGAACGTTTAATAAAATAAATACGGTACAAAATAACATTTTTTACAATTTTTGTCTGTCTGTCTGTCTGTTTGTTCCGGCTAATCTCTGAAATGACTGGACCGATTTTGACGGGACTGTTTTTCGCAGGTAGCTGATGTAATCAGGAGTAACTAAGGCTACTTTTACTTTAGAAAAATAAAGTTAAATTCCACGCGGACGAAGTCACGGGTACAGCTAGTAAGAAATAGAATTCAAACCCACCTGTCGCCTGGTCTCATCGTCGAGGAGCGTCAACTCGTCGAGCGGCAGGGATGCGAGACGCAGCTGCACATCGCAGGCGGCCGTCAGGTTCCTCGCCTGGTGGAACGCTTCCTCGAGGGTCGCGCCGCAGCACAGAGCACCACCGCTGCTGAGGACCAGCACCTTGGCTGAGGGTCCGAGAGCTCGCACCAGCTTGTCGCGCTCTTCGTTGTCTAGAGTACCTGGAGGTAAATAAAAATGTATATAGCTATACTAGCTGACATCGTAAACGTTGTTTGGTCATATAAAATAAAATCGCTATTAAAAAATAGGGGTTGATTATATATATAGGATATAAAAAATAGGCGAAAAATTTAAGGTTTGTAGTTTACAATGCTAAATCGTAAATTAAAATAAAAATAAAATGTGTCGAAAAATAAAAAATAATATTAGGGGTGGACAACCCTTATTTACTTTTATTTATAATTCTTTATTGCACCACTATTAAAAACACAAACATACAGTATATATATATAAAAGAACGAAGAAGCGATATATCGCTAACGCAATCTCTTACAGACAACTTTAGGATTTTTTTTTCTTATTAAAAAGTAGCCTATTTCCTCTCTCAGGTTCTAGACTATCTGTGTACCAAATTTAATTGAAATCGGTTCTATATTCTTTGGCGTGGAAGCGCGACAGACAGACAAACAGAGTTTTTCTTTATGCATGATAATACAATGGTGCACCCGCTTGCGCTAACGGTTTACGCTGGCGATGCACCAGTGGAGGATGATAAGATGAACGATCATCGACATCATGACAATTCACTAGGAATTTATCACGGTGGTTCTAGAAGGATCCGCGTGGAGGTCAACCTGACATGACACATTGATAATGGGGTCATGAGTCCACGTTACTAACAATCCCCATCCCCCTAGACAAACAGACTCACTTTCTCATTTATAATATTAGTAAGAATATATTTATTTATTTATTTATTTATTTAAAACTATTGATTTTGTACAATAGGCGGGCGTAATGCTAATAGCAATATATTTATTTATTTATTTATAAAAACTTCATGCACAAATATAAAACAAAATAAAGGTGCATATGGCGGACTTAACACCATAAGGCATTTTCTCCCAGTCGACCATAGGGCAAACAGAGATTAGTGGGCGGTGCATTTAAGTAAATAATAACATGAAATAAATAATAAAAGGAGAAAGGTACAATTATAATAAAATTCATAAATTGAAATATATATATCCAACTACATACATACTTAAATAAGAATATATAAATATAAATATATTATATATATATATATACATATACATTCAAGTACATAATAAAATACATTTAAAATTTATACATATATACCAAATACAAATATCTAGTTTGTCTGTACGATTGCTTTGAGTGACAAGGCTGTCTTGCATAGTCTTAATGTTAAATTAATTATAAATTCAAAAATCATTTATTCATATAGGACATTTTAGCCGCATATGAACGTCAAATTTTTACATTCTAATTTTCATTTTTTCCCTACCGTCCAGTTACCGGTATATAGATCGAATAGGTCGAATTTCGAGCATTGCGCTACCACTAGTAATAAATTCCTTAGACGAATCACACAGCGCCATCTAGTCACAAGCAAGGCAGAGCTTGTGTTATGGGTACTAGACAACTGATATAAATACTTAGATACTTTTTATAAATACATACATAATATACGTAGAAAACACCCAGACCGATACAAACAACAATAAAAAAAAAACATACTCATGAATACTGTTGATTTAATTGTATTAAAATGCAAAAATTAACCTCTCAACTGATTGAGTGACTTAATAGAATTACATCTACCTACATATATATTTATATTGAAGTTGACCTAGTTTTCTTTATAACCACTGTAAGACGGTCCCTCACTCTTGTTTTGTACACTGTAAAGAGCGGACGCATATTGGCTTCCTAGTATTAAAATAAAAGATAAATATAGAAGTGATTATAGTGTTCAGTTGTCTACATTAAAAAGCCCTATTTCCTATAAATACAAATGTCCGATTCCTCGAAATCGAACCCGCGACTATCTGAAATAAAACTGTGTGCTAACCGCTAGACCACCGAGGTCGTCAATAATAATAATACTAACTTTTTTTTTCGTAGTACTGTAATGCTGTTGACCGCAGCTAGCCTTTACAGCTTCAACGGACGATAGGGGGCGAGTGCAGATAGCACTCCAAACCAAAGGAAGGACTTATGGAGCGGCTGAAGGCCAACTCCCGCCTGATACGACTTTAGTCTGAGGGCACCACTAGGGGTTCGAACCTCGGCTCAGGATACCCGTTGGAATACTAACCGTACGGAACTCGATGGTAGGCAATCTCTCCGAGCAGCGCCGCCTCGTTGCACAGCGGGAGAAGTCCTCGCTTCATGCTGGAGACGGCCAGAGCTGATGGTGAACGCACGTGGAGCACGCAGCGGACGTCTGGCCTCGCAGCATGAACTGACGCGTGGAGGGAGAAGCCTGACAAACAAATCAAAATCTCTTTAGTCTATGACAAATATAGAAAAAGTATTCAATAATGTAACAGAAAGAAAAAAAGATAAAACAAACAAACATTGTTCTAGCATGAAGGGAAAAGCCTGACAATCAAATCAAATCTCAAAACACTCATATATCGAGGTACTACTGTATTTTGATTTGATTTGATTATTTGAAAAGAATACGAGCTGAGTTTCTTGTCAATTCTTCTCATGTCGAAATCATTACGAACTGACGGTAGATTTGACATATCATAAGAGTCTGTAATGTTACATTGTTCTAGCTTGAAGGGAGAAGCCTGACTATCAAATCAAAATATCTTTATTCTATGACAAATAAAGAAAAAGTATTCAATAATGTAACAGAAAGAAAAAAAAAGATAAAACAAACAAACATTGTTCTAGCATGAAGAGAGAAGCTCGACGATCAAATCAAAATATCTTCATGTAGATCTATTACATACTCCTATGATATGTCAAATCTACCGTCAGTTCGGAATGATTTCGAGATGAGAAGAACTGACGAGAAACTCAGCTCGTGTTCTTTTCAAATAATCAAATCAAATCAAAATGCAGTAGTACCTCGATATACGAGTGTTTTGAGATACAAGCCGTAGATCAGGGGCGGATTGTGAATTTGTGGGGCCCTGGTCTAAAACTGTGGGGCCTACCTAATTATATTACTCAACTAAAAAAATACACCGACCAGAAACAAGCGAGAGGGAATTCCTCGTTCTGTTCGATAGACGCGCATATCTATGGGTTGATTAATCTCAGAGTTGTCAACCTTATGATAGGTTTTTAATCTAAATATTGCCTATTATTTTCAGTGGGGGCTGGGGGCTCTTTGTATCCACGGGGCCCTGGGCTGCAGCCTATAAAGCCCGTAGGTAGATCCGCTCCTGCCGCAGATTGAGCAATATTTGGTTTCGAGATGAGAGCATGAGATATACTACACCACAAGGCAAGGCACCAAGGCTGTCTGAGGGAGAAATTATTAGACGTTACCAACAATTTCTCCCTCAGACAGCCTTGGCGCCTTGCCTCGTTTTCGAAGCATTTTCCATAAGAAGGATTCACATTGCTTTTTGTACATTTAGAAAACGAATTTGTTGTTTAATTACAAAATGAACTTGCGTACGCGTTGCCAACCCTAAAAGGTGTTAGGTTAGATCTTACCGTGGACATTCACTGGATCTTACTTCTTGATTTAATTATTTTAGAAATATGAAAGCGTAGCGGTTTTTGTATTGATTGCCGCATGCATTCTTATGTAAAATGTGAATACTATAACTATCAGATGGCAATTGTAAGTAGCTTTGACGTGGTTTGAGTAATCATGCTCACTAAAATGTCCAGATTTGTGGCGGCGTGGTGGGCCGGGTCATTCGGATCCCTAAAATATAGTCGAGCGCAGTGATGGCTGGCTCATCCGTCATACTCGTGAACGGGTGCTGCTTGTAGGGACTGATCTGCTCTAATCACTGACTGATTTCCTCTTATTAATTGTTTAACCAGTTGGTTATATATTTAAATTTTTTTCTGTTTGAGTATTTAATTGAATTAATGCTAATTGGTGGTTTGTATTCACACACTTAAACTCACTTAAAATGTAAAGTAATAAAAAAAAATATTTAAAAGAGCAACACGCAAGTTTCTTGCTCGTTCTTCTTGTGATGAGACAACTATCCGAATGAGCGGTAGATTAAAAAAATGTAATGACTATTCAAAAGTGATTCAATGTAAGTTTATTTGAATAAATGACTTTTCTATTCTATTCTTACCTTCAACATTCACGGGGAAGTTGGTGGTGCCCTGGTCTTGCACAACGCCCTGCATGTCCACCTTGACAAGGGAGGACGCGGTGACCTCGTGCGGGAGCAGCCCCCGCGGCGTCGTCAGCACCTGCTCCACCGCGGTGTTGAGGCGCGCAGTGATCTGACCACTAATGCCGGCTGGAACAACGAATAGAGCATTTATTACACTGTCTACAACTTCATGTCGTCCTGGTACTTTCAAGTTTTTTGTTTTTACTTTATACATTTATCTTTGAAGTAATATTATTTTTGATCATTTCAGTTTTCTGGTAAAATGGAACGCAATTGTACGCTGACAGATATGAGTGACTGATTTCTGCATATTATCTGTGGGGAATATATAATGAACGATTTAACTGTAGTACTAAGTAGTCCTCTGTTAGATCTGGATTCGTAATAATGTTAGGTTTATTTCAAGTTAACATTAGGAATGGTTTAAACCACGATGAACGTGGTCGAAATGACCACGTTTTCGTCCGAGTTTTAATAGATTTTTTGTAATAAGACCGAAAGGTATTTATTCTCCGCTACATCAAGCCACCATCCATATATCATAAATGTATATTATATCATGCTATACTTTTACATACTCTGGGTCCATCCGAATAGATCCACAAGACGGTACACGGCTGCCAGCTTGCACCGCAGTATCTTCTCCCCCTTTTCGTAACCCACTCCTTCGATCCCTCGAATATCGTTGATGGGCAGAACGCACGTTGGACCCTGTAAATATATGTAAATTCAAATTAATTTCCTATATGTAGTCTCTTGTTAAAATTCACATCATTACTGTAGAAAAAATCCGATATTTAAAAAAATATATTAAAAGAAGGTAGTTTGTTTTTAGTACTAATGAAGTACCCAATGTAAAGATTATTACGAATATTGTAAATAGCGCCATCTAGTATTTATAGACCAAACTAGTACACTGACTTTGGTCTATAAATACAGAGGTCGGTAGTTGAAAAATCCTCTTTGGTTGGGTGAGCCGCGGCATTCAGTCGACGAGTGCAGAGCGTGCCGGTTGTGTTTTGGGTACTAAAGTGAATTGTAATGGGTTTATCCCGGTCTTAGTTGGGTCTGGGGGGAAGCTGCAAGTAGTGAAGGTGAGTGTTAATGCATTCTAAAAGGGCCTTTTAAACCTACACCCGTGTCACAAGTCACGGGCGCTACTTGGGGTTTCCCTTGCGGTAGCCGGCTTCAAAGCCTCAGTCGTCCATCATAATTAGTACATCTTACAACATCATCATCTATGCCAGAAGGAATATAGACAGTTTCAAAAGAGTTAGTGATTGCACTAATAAAAGCTTACGTAACAATAACAAACTGATTTTACCTAAATGTCGTTTGGCTAAAGTTAGTAATTCGTTTTATGGCAATTGCGTAAGGTTTTACAATAAAATACCAGAGTCTGTTATAAATCTGCCAGAAAAAAGATTTAAATGTCAAATAAAACAGTTCCTTTGCAAAAAAGCTTACTATAAAATTGAAGAATTCGTTAACGATAATAATGTTTTTATAGAAAAACTTTAAATCTATAGCACTGACAATATTATCTGATTACATTAATAATGAGTGCGTAGCGACTTCTATGTTGATTATCGCATGCCTCTTACTTGTTATACTGTAATTATTTATATAAAAAAAACATCTACTATTCAAAAGTGCTTGTAATGAGTTTATTTGAATAAAGATTATTTCTATTTCTATTTACACTCTCATATGTAAATTTTCATATATGTAAGTTTACAGTCTCAAACTTGTAAATTAACAATCGACCCGTCCTGGCTTCACACGGGTGGATAACAAATTTCTTAATTTCTCGGTTTGTTCTATACTATAGTATAACACGCTTGTATTATACATATGTATATACTTTGATATATATATATTATTATTATTTGATATATATATTTTGATAAAGAGCTCGAAGTTTAATATTTATGTTTTTTTTAGTAATAAGTTAAGTATAAGTAAGGAGCTAACAGAATATCAGCGCTGCAGAGTTATCTGTAGCATTATGCTGAGTTGGCTGCCTTTTCACTTTTGCGGCACATAAAGTCACCTACATTTCTTTTATTAATTCGTGTTTTTTCTGTATCTCATGTGTTATGTGTCTGTAATTGTGAATAAAGAATTTATCTATGTATCTACATAATCCCGGAACCCCCCACTATTATTTGAACTTTATGGTATGGTATTAAGGTTCAAATTGACTTTTAAGAATTAATTCGAATCGTTTGTATGGGATTATAAAAGAGTTGTTATTAGACATTTATAGACAATTGTTAAAAAAATTCTTTTCTTAAGAACCAAATTCTTACTTTAAGGAATATTCTAAAAACAGAATTAGCGTACTCGGTTCAGTAGTTCTCGAGATTTGCGCTTACCAACACATTCAGCTCTTCATTTTTATATTTACGACATTTTTATATGTACACGCGACTTAGTCCGCGTGGAATTGAACATTATTTTTCTAAAATAAAGGTAGACTAGACTAAGTTACTCCTTATTACATTAGCTACCTGCCAAAAAAAGTCCTGTTAAAATCGGTCCAGCTATTTCAGAGATTAGCCGGAACAAACAGACCAAGAGACAGACAGACAAAAATTGCAAAAAGTGGTTTATTGGTGTATGTACCATATTTATATTCATATGCGTGTAGTAAAAAACGGTTATTTCAATATTACAAACAGACACTCCAATTTTATATATATATATAGATGTATACTAAACGCGAAATCATTACATAGTATAAAACAAAGTCGCTGTCGCTGTCTGTCCCTATGTATGCTTAAATCTTTAAAACTACGCAACGGATTTTGAAGCTGTTTTTTTAATAGAGTGATTCAAAAGGACGGTTTATATGTATAATACATGTACACCCGGGTGAAGCCGGGGCGAGTAGCTTTTAAAATAAAAAAAGGAAGATAACGATAAGACAACGATAATCAATACTTACCCTAAGACTTCCGGTATGCAGCCGTCCTCCAACCATCTCCCTTATGCGCTGCAGGAGCGGTGCATCATTGCCTTCGTGGATCTGCTGGTCTAGCACCCGTTCCAACTCCTCGCGGAACAGTTTTGAGGACATGAGAGCTTCCACGCGCTTGCGGCGCTCCATCTCGCGGACATCCTGAGGAAAAGATATTTTATCCTTACTAATCTTTATCCTTAAGAATTATATGAAGAAGGAATGAAGATAATATTATTTTATCCTTACTAATCTTTATCCTTCAGAATTATATGAAGAAGGAATGAAGATAACACATTAAGGAAGGTGTTACATATGAATGTGGATGGTTATAAGGACAGAGGAAGACCGAAAAAGTGGATGGAGTGTGTGAAAGATGATATGATAAGGGAGTAATAGAAAGGATGTAAATTATTGAACTAACATAGTGACATCGTAGATATCCACTTCGACGCAATCCGTACATATCAGAAAAATATATACGAACATCTAACAGCTCCATTGGAATAGTAATATATATTGTGTATTGTATATTATAAGTATATAGTATAGTAATAGATAATAAGCATAATTCATAATATAAAAGAAACAGTTAAATTAAGATTTCCTTTTTTTTTTATATGTAACTTTTGTATATTATTTTGCTTGCCGTGTTCGTGTTTAAATCATTGTACAATTAGACCATAATCCATCACATGTAATTAAATTAATTGTATAATTGTAACAATAGTTGGTGATCCTAAATAAAATAAATAAAAAAAAAAGGGAGTAAATAACGAGATGACTGCGAACAGGGATGAATGGAAGAGAAAAACATTACGTCGACCACAAATAAATGTGATAAGGAAGAAGCAGATGACTAATCCTTATACTAGCTGAACTGGGCGGTAGGTATAACAAATAGAGAAGGGACATAAATGCCCTTTTTTTTTTATCGGTCTACTCTAATGCTGTTGGCCGCAGCTGGCCTTTACAGCTTCGGACTATAGGGGGCGAGTGCAGATGGCACTCCAAACCAACGGAACGACTTATGGAGCGGCTGAAGGCCAACTCCTGCCTGACGGATACGACTTTACTCTGAGGGCACCACTAGGGGTTCGAACCTCAGCTCAGGCCGTCGTAATATCGATCCCCGTTTGAATTGGACTGGAGATCGATCGGAGGGCCGAGACCGAATATAAGGGACCAAAAATGTCATCCTTACAATATTATAAATGCCAAAATAACTACGGCACTACCATTTGAGAGTTACTTTATATTTCTCACTGATACTTTGACCAAGGGCGTACTGACATAAAAACAAATTAATCCGTTTTTTTTACTTATCTAATGTTGTTGGCCAAAGCTGGCCTTGAGAGCTTGTGCTATGGGTACTAGACAACAGATACGAACACTTAAGTGTAGTTAAAAAATTCGACATGTTAATACAATACAATAGAATAGAAAAGAACAGAATAGAATAGAAAATCCTTTATTAATATAAACCTAATTTAAACACTTTTTAATATATGACCAATGAAAATTATTATTACGGCTTATTGTTTTTATATTATATTGTATAAATTTGTGTGTAAATAAATAAAAAAAAAAGTGCTTCCATTAAGTTATCCTTCTTTTAATGTAACGCTTTCTTTCAGAAAGCTCTCATCACAAGAAGAATGAGCTTTACGTGTTGCTTTTTTAAATACTAGTATAACTTTACATTTTTAAATCGAAATTAAACAATAATTACAGCATCAATATCAGCGGGTCTTTCTACCAAGTAGCATTAATTTATTACGGTTAATACTTACAGCATCAATATCAGCGAGTCTTTTTACCAAGTAGCATTAATTTATTACGGTTAATACTTACAGCATCAATATCAGCGGGTCTTTCTACCAACTAGCATTAATTTATTACATTTAATACTTACAGCATCAATATCAGCGAGTCTTTTTACCAAGTAGCATTAATTCATTACGGTTAATACTTACAGCATCAATATCAACGGGTCTTTCTACCAAGTAGCATTAATTTATTACGGTTAATACTTACAGCATCAATATCAGCGGGTCTTTTTACCAAGTAGCATTAATTTATTACGGTTAATACTTACAGCATCAATATCAGCGGGTCTTTCTACCAAGTAGCATTAATTTATTACGGTTAATACTTACAGCATCAATATCAGCGAGTCTTTTTACCAAGTAGCATTAAGTTATTACGGTTAATACTTACAGCATCAATATCAGCGGGTCTTTCTACCAAGTAGCATTAATTTATTACGTTTAACACTTACAGCATCAATATCAGCGGGTATTTCTACCAAGTAGCATTAATTTATTACGGTTAATACTTACAGCATCAATATCAGCGGGTCTTTTTACCAAGTAGCATTAATTTATTACGGTTAATACTTACAGCATCAATATCAGCGGGTCTTTTTACCAAGTAGCATTAATTTATTACGGTTAATACTTACAGCATCAATATCAGCGGGTCTTTTTACCAAGTAGCATTAATTTATTACGGTTAATACTTACAGCATCAATATCAGCGGGTCTTTCTACCAAGTAGCATTAATTTATTACGGTTAATACTTACAGCATCAATATCAGCGAGTCTTTTTACCAAGTAGCATTAATTTATTACGGTTAATACTTACAGCATCAATATCAGCGGGTCTTTCTACCAAGTAGCATTAATTTATTACGTTTAACACTTACAGCATCAATATCAGCGGGTTTTTCTACCAACTAGCATTAATTTATTACGGTTACTACTTACAGCATCAATATCAGCGGATCTTTCTACCAAGTAGCATTAATTTATTACGTTTAATACTTACAGCATCAATATTAGCGAGTCTTTTTACCAAGTAGCATTAATTTATTACGGTTAATACTTACAGCATCAATATCAGCGGGTCTTTGCTTGAGCCTCTCATCTTCCTCCTCGGTGGACAGCGGGCCGGTGCCGTTGGGCAGCGTCTCTGTGTCTGTATCGGCCATTTCTTCTTTCTGCGGACAATACAAACTACGATTAATATCATAATTACATATTATTAAATAAAGTCGCTGTCACTGTCTGTCCCTATGTATGCTTAAATCCTTAAAATTACGCAACGGATTTAGAAGCGGTTTTTTGTTAATAGATAGAGTGATTCTAGAGGAAGGTTTAAATATATAATACATGCATGTACGAAGTCGGGGCGAGTAGCTAGTTATTAAATAAATAAATAATCTCAGGACTATTCACACAGCGCTATCTAGACCCAAATTAAGCTAGTTAAAGCTTGTGTTATGGGTTCTAAACAAATACATAAATGTTTTTGATTCATAAATACATACATATTATACATAGAAAACACCCAGACCGATACAAACAATCATACTCATGAATACAAATGTTTGTACCGTGCGAGGAATCGAACCTGCGACCATCGAGGCCGTCAAAATAATAATAATTGTTATCGCTAGCTCCGGATATAGATGGCGCTGGAAGCAAGCACCAACGCCAAAGCAGTATTAATTATTAAAATTACCCGCAGTTGTAATATTGTGAAACTAGATGACGCTAGCGGCGCACTCGTCCCCACTAATACTACTTTACCGATTTTAGAACGCCATCTTATAATGCAGATTCTTGTTGTTGAGTATTCATTCCGAAACCGTTGAAGTGAAAGGTTAACAGTAGATTCCAAAGTTTGTTACATTATATTCGAAGATTGGTATTTAGATATAATTATTGCAGACAAATTCCAATAAAATTCAACGTATCCTATAATTGTTTAAATGAATTTGATTAAAGAAACTAGATAATTAAATATAATGATTATACCTACATTTATTAATATTTACATTGGAAACTTTAGAATTAAAATCAAAACGTGAATAAATAACTATATATATATCTGTAATGTGTTTAACTCTTTGTTATCAGAAGTGGGATATATTCACGCTTGTTGGTCATCATGGGACGAAAACACAAACGCACCCGGGCACCGTCTACGAGTTCGAGCACGTCAGTAACGATCGAATCTGATTCTTCAAGCACTGGCCGTAAAAGAAACCGTCGCAAACGAAGTAGAAGGCATCGCCGCAAGAGGTCACCAACCGTGAGTCAAAATGCTGTATTGTCTTCAGTAATCCCTGAATTTGACCCACTAGTGGATGATGTAGATATGTGGATTAAAGTGGTTGAGGCTAATGCTCGTGCTTTTGGGTGGGCTAATAGTATGATCAAATTCCAAGCATTGCAAAAATTAAGAAATACTGCTAAAACATGGTTAGATTCCCTGCAAAAAAATGAAACCTCATGGACTACTTGGCGTTGGAAAAATTGGCGTGATAGATTATCAGATACTTTTCAAACCAAGCGGAATATGTATGCGTTACTGAAAGATCTGATCGAAACTAAACCATTACCTAATCAATCTTTATACGAATTTTATTTCACTCAAAAAGGGAAAATAGATAGGTTACAGTTAGAGTTTGGAGATCGAGACATTATATCAATTATAGTAGGATCAATAGGAGATCCCAATATTAATACAGCGGCAGACGCAGGTAGCTTTCGTTATTGTGATGACCTAGCCTCATTTTTACACGGTAAAATTTATACAGTATCTCTTGGCCCTGACAAGAATATGCCAGAAAAATCGGTTACAAAACCTGCAAATAGACACACATCCAATGCAGTATCCAGTGTAGATAACAAATCAGATTCTATAAAACCTCACCGTCCTACTAGTAGCTTGACCGATTTTAATAACTGGTCTTGTTTTCGTTGTGGTGAAGTAGGCCATAAACGAACTAAATGTACCCTTAAAGATAATGTTTCCTGCACTTCATGTGGAAAGTTTGGACATTTAGAAAAAGCTTGTAAAACTAAAGTAAAACCCAAGTTAGAAACTGAAGTAAAAATGATAAATGAAAGTGAAAATAAACAAAAATTTTATAAAAAAGTCTTAGTTAATAATTGGGAATGTGAGGCTTTCTTTGATATGGGTAGTGATTGCTCTTTAATTACCAGTGCTTTAGTTGAACAATATAAATTGAAAACCTTTTCCTTAAATTCTCCGATTAACCTAGTTGGGTTCACTACCAACACATCCACTCAAGTTTCTAAAGCGGTGGCAGTCACACTAAAGGTTGATAATGTTGAACTAGTAATAGTAATGTATGTAATAGAGTCGCTTAGGGGATGCAATATATTAATAGGTCGTAACTTTACGGAAGATAGTTCTATCATGTATACTCGTATAGGAAGTTCATTGACTTTCAAATCAGCGGAAACTTTAAATATATTTAACCTCAACTCGAGTACAAAAAGGAAAGTACCCTACGAATATGAGAACATTTTGAATTCAATAATTTCAAAATACCCACGTTGCGTTTCGGATGATTTGTCCACTGTGGGAAAAACCAATAGCGTTGAATTGGAAATAGTGCTCACTTCTTCAAAACCTGTTTTTTACAGGCCATATAGAATGGCTGAAGCTGAAAAGAGAATCACGCGAGAAATTACAGATGACTTACTTAAAAATGGGATAATTAGACCTAGTAACTCCGCATACGCAAGCCCTGCTTTATTAGTGGACAAATCATCTGGAGCAAAACGACTATGTATTGATTATCGTCAATTAAATAAAATTACCCTATGCCTATGATTGAGGACTTAATTGACAGACTACGTGACTGTAAATTCTTCACATCTTTAGATTTAAAGAGTGGGTATCACCAGATTCCTATTAAACCGGACTCCATTCACAAAACTGCATTCATTACACCGGATGGACACTTTGAATTTTTAAGAATGCCATTCGGTTTAAGTAATGGTCCAGCTATTTTCCAGAGATTAATGAATACAATTTTGGGGAATTTACGTTTTGGAAAAGTAATTTGTTACATGGACGATTTACTCGTCGCAACTGAGACTTTAGAAGAGAATATAACGTGTTTAGAAAAAGTACTTGAAATTCTACAAAATAATGGGTTAACAATTAACATTGAAAAATGCTCTTTCTTTCAAAATAGTATTACATTCCTAGGATATGATATTTCTGAAGATAAGATTTGTCCGAGTTCAAAAAAATTAAAGGCAATTGAAAAATTCCCTACACCTAAGACCGTACATCAATTACGCCAATTCTTGGGATTAATAAACTATTTCAGAAAGTTTATCAGGAAATGTGCACTTCTGTGTAGTCCATTAACCAGTTTGTTAAAGAAAAATGCAGTTTGGGAATGGGGCCCTCAACAGGAACAAGCTGTAAATGATATTAAAAAGTCTCTTATTAATAATGCTGTTTTGAAAATCTTTAATCCTAATTTACCAATTAATTTATATACAGATGCTAGTCGCGAGGGGGTAGGTTGCATAATGACTCAAGTTACAAACGATGGTGAAAAACCAGTTCATTTTTATAGTCGACAAACAAGTAGTGATGAAAAACGATACCATTCCTTTGAGCTTGAATTATTAGCAGTTGTGACAGGCTTACAAAAATTTCGGCATTATCTGCTTGGTACGGAATTTAAAATTATTACGGACTGTAATGCAGTGAGATACGCCTTAACTAAAAAAGAGATAATTCCACGGATAGGGAGGTGGGTTTTACAGACGCAGGAATTTAATTTTGAGATAGTACATAGACCAGGTACTCAAATGCAACATGTAGACGCACTTAGTCGCAATCCAGTTCAAAAGGATGTTTTCGTAGACTCTGATAATGTTATGTCCATAACAGAAGGTGATTGGATGTTGTCTGTCCAATTACAAGACCCGAACATTTGTAGCATTAGAGAAATATTGTTATCAGGGGAGGCCGAGACAAATAAACCTATTTTTAATCAATACGAATTACTCGGAAATAAAGTGTACCGAAGAACAGAGTATGGTAGGCGATGGTTGGTACCTAAACGGTGTGTCTGGCAAATAATTAGAGCTAACCATGACGACATAGGACATTTTGCAGTAGATAAGACATTAGAAAGGATAAAATCTAAATATTGGTTCCCTCACTGTAAAAGAACAGTTTCTAAATATATTAAAAACTGCTTGAATTGCATCTATTATAAAAACATCCATGGAAAAAAACCCGGTAAGTTATACCCAATCCCAAAATATGCCCGGCCATTCCATACGCTACACTTAGATCATGTAGGGCCTTTTGTAAAATCTACATATAAAAATTCATACATTTTAGTTATTGTCGATTCGTTCACAAAATTTGTCTTCATTTCGGCTGTTAGAAATACGAAATCTCAAGTTGTCATAAATGAGCTCAATAAAATATTTAAAGTATTCGGAAATCCTAAACGACTGATTAGTGATGCGGGAAGTGCTTTTACTTCTAAAGCCTTCACAGCCTTTTGTACTGAAAGGAATATTAGAAATCATGTAATTGCTACTGCCATACCACGCTCAAATGGTCAGGTTGAGCGATATAACCTAACCATTTTAGAGGCATTGCGGAGTTTGGGTGCAAACACTGATAATAATAAATGGGATCAACAAATCACTAGCATACAACAGGGAATAAATAGCACGATTAATAAAACCACGTCTGCCATCCCTAGTGAGGTTTTCTTCGGATACCGAATTCGTACGAATAGCGATGGTATTATTGATGACAGTACAGAATTACCGGTTGACCTCACGGCATTGAGAAACAAAGTAGACACGAATATACAAAAAGATGCAAAAAGACAAAAAGAGATCTTTGATGCGAAAAGAAAAGAAGCTCCTTTATACAGCATTGGTGACTTGGTGGTAATCAAAGTACCAAGCTGTTCAAATAACGGGCAGAGCACTAAACTTATGCCGCTTTACAAGGGTCCCTTTCAAATTACGGAAGTACTCGGACATGATAGATACAAAATCGCTGATATGAGAGGATCGGAACGAACTTCAAAGCGTTATGAAGGTATTTCATGTGCAGAAAACATGAAACCGTGGATACGTATATCGGACGTTGAAGAACCGAATGTTATCAACATTTAAGGTGGTATATAATTATGTTCCATTCCTGAACATCTTGATTATTATTATTGCCTAATTTTATTTTCTTTATACTTGCACAAACACATATAATATGTCATATATAGTCAAATGCATTCTCTTCGAACGCCTAATTCCTGCAGTGAGGGGATAGTATGTATGCGGAGATCCAAAAGTGAACACCGTAGTACACATGGCGATACACAGCTGAGATGATCTGGAATCATCTAGCTCAAGCCATGGCGGGATTAGTTGGCCGCCGATGGAATAACTACTTTCGCTGCTACCTGGCTCTCTGCAGGATGTTTGAGCAATCGTGGGCATTAATAAAAAGTTAAAAGAATATTTATATTACCGGTTACATGAATAAAACTATCAAATAATGGTTATAATTTGTTCTCAGATCATGCATCAGACTTTAACGCTGTCCGAGGACGAACGCGTTAGCAGGATGACCGAATGTTATCGCTAGCTCCGGATATAGATGGCGCTGGAAGCAAGCACCAACGCCAAAGCAGTATTAATTATTAAAATTACCCGCAGTTGTAATATTGTGAAACTAGATGACGCTAGCGGCGCACTCGTCCCCACTAATACTACTTTACCGATTTTAGAACGCCATCTTATAATGCAGATTCTTGTTGTTGAGTATTCATTCCGAAACCGTTGAAGTGAAAGGTTAACAGTAGATTCCAAAGTTTGTTACATTATATTCGAAGATTGGTATTTAGATATAATTATTGCAGACAAATTCCAATAAAATTCAACGTATCCTATAATTGTTTAAATGAATTTGATTAAAGAAACTAGATAATTAAATATAATGATTATACCTACATTTATTAATATTTACATTGGAAACTTTAGAATTAAAATCAAAACGTGAATAAATAACTATATATATATCTGTAATGTGTTTAACTCTTTGTTATAATAATTAAAATTTTAATAAACGATAATAAGATATGTTGCAAATACCCACCTCCTCTAGGATAGAACTGTTATAAAAAGCCATTCTCACTTTAATTCATTATGATTATGACGAAATATTTTTTTTATAATACGGCATGTATTATAAAAAATAATATAGCTATATTTATCTATAATTATACATATATCTTTATAGATTTAAAAATATGATTATTCCTGTTTGTTCCGGACCACCGCTTAAAGATTATGTATAGTCATAGATTGTAGAAATAAGTTCGATTAGAGATAGCAAATTTATAAATAGTACAATTGTTACATAGTAACACCTTAAGAATAGTAGATTCGATAGGGATAAGTTTATAGAGATTTAAGTACTTTATGTTATTATTTACGAAAATGCTTGGATATATAGGATAAGATGACAAATAAATGATTATAATGGTTGTGGTTTCAATCCCCTAAAAATAAATAGGTCGGCAAATAGAAACAGAATAGAATATAGTATAAAAAATAGATCCCAAAATACATAGGGATCTTTTTATAGTATCATTTCATTTGTAGATATGTAATAATAATTGTAATGTGCGTTGCGCGGCAGCATTCGTTCGACTGACGCGCGACCTCGCTCTCCCGCGCTATATATATATGAGGGGGAAGGGGAGCGAGGTCATATAAAAGGCGCGATCCGCGAAATCGCGAATTATTCCTAAACCGCACGTCGCGCAGCGCACACATCATAATAAAAATGTAAATTAAAGATGGTATTGTCGTTTGATGCACAAATTGTAAACACAAAATGTAAGATTGATAAAATATAATAAAAATTATATAAAGGGGTGAGGAGAATAGGGCGGCCAAGGGTCCGCTGGCTAGTAGCCAAAAATCGTATATAAGTAGCGTCCAAAAGCGCTACAAATCATAGCGAATTCAACCTCTGAATAGCGAATCTGACCTCAGGATAGCGAATCTGACCTCGATTAGCGAATAGCGAACTCGACTTCTGAATAGCAAAATCAACCACTGAAGAAATTCTCCTCGCCTCTGCATTCTGAACCACAAGAACCGTTTTCTCATTTACTGCCCGTCCATCATCACCGTCGTCAAGCATAGTCGTCACAACCCTTTTCACGCATCGTGTCATCGCATCGTGTCACCGTCGCATCAGCATCGTGTAAACGTCCTTCTCAGGACGAATCATCGTGGTGCCTATAAAGAGGCACCTGGTCCTTCACCCGCAACGCGCCCGCGGCGTTGATTGAGGCCCTTCAGGTAGGGAGTGCTTTGAAAAGGGCACTCTCTCACCTCGAGGAGGATAGATTGACGTCCGGGCGTACCAGCGACTCGGTGCCTGCCGACGCGCCTTCCGACTCCCGGGGGCAGCGGCCAGCACATCTGCTGGTCCTTCGAGCCGGATCAAGAAGAATAGAAGACAAAATAGAAGATGCCCGTCACACGAAGCAGAACTGGCAAGATGCAAGAGGAGAAGACAGAAGAGCATCAAACAGATGCAGAACAGGTCCCAGACCCACCGCGGAGGGAAAACCCGTTCCCTATTCGACATAGCATACCGCCGAGGTCGCCACAAGGGACACAAGACGTCGAAGAAACCGTCGTTCAACAAACAACGGCGCGATCACAGCTCTCCGATAGAGAAAAGGAGAGACAGAAACAAATCGCTATCGCCCGAGAAGAGGTCATTCGCTATCGATTACAGTTGGCGGAGGCCAAGCTAGCCCGACTGGAAGCCTTCGGAGAAGAAGACGAAGAACCGTCGGAACCAGCATCGCAAGACGGCCACAATAGGGTCGTCGAATGGCTCGAGCAGCAGTCCGAGCCACCACCGCCTCCACCAGAAGCACCACCGAATCCACCGAAGAGGCCCACACCGGCGAGAATAGAGGAGCCGCTTCGGGGTACCATAGAAACTCACCAACGATTGGCACCCACAGACACCATTCAAGTTGGTGATCTCGCAACTGCAGTAACCGAAATCGTCAGGGCGACTACATCGTCGCTAGCGGCCGTCGCGCCGCACCCACAAGCGTCAACGTCGGGTCCCCTAGCAGCACAGTATAGAGGGGAACTCACACCGTTCTACGGGGCGCATACAGATTGGCTGGCCTTCAAGGCAGCCTACGAAGAATCTGCGGGGTATCTAACGCCGTCGCAGAACATAGAAAGGCTCCGGAGAGCCTTACGAGGGGAGGCTAGGTCAGCAATGAAGAGCCTCCTAATAGCAAACACGCCGGCCGAAGAGATCATGCACGAGTTGGAGCTCACCTTCGGTCGACCGAACAACATAGCAGAAGTCGAAATAGCAAAGCTGCGGAGTCTTCCACCACCGAAGGACACACCGGGGGAGTTCTGCAGATTCGCCACAGCCGTCAAGAATAGCATCGTGTCATTGAAGACGTTGAAGAAGATCAACTTCCTATACAACCCGGAAGTGGCGAAGTTATTAATAGAAAAACTACCGCCGAACATTCGACATAGGTGGTATGTCTACTGCCAGCAGCAAGCTCACGAAGACGTACCGGATTTAGTACAGTACTACAACTTCGTGAAGATAGAAGCTGAAATTTATAGCGTAAGCGCCGAACCCATGAAGATAGCAAGCATGGACGACAAACCGAAGCCGTCGGAAAGTCGTCGTGTTCAAATCCGTCCGCAGCGAACACATACAGCGAGCAAGACGGACAGCCCACCCCGCCACAAGCCAACGTGTCCCGTGTGCAAATCAAATTCGCACACGGCGGCGCAACAGTGTGAAAAATTCAAGAAAGAAAATAGCTACGGGCGTTGGGAAATAGCGAAGGCGCAACGTCTGTGTTTCCGATGCCTACAATATCGAACACAGACACATAACTGCAAGACGAAGACTTGCGGAATAGATGACTGTCCACGTATGCATCACAAATTGTTGCACTACAGGGCAGCGAGCGAGACACAGAAGACAGAGACAGCAACAGTATCGACAGGCGTCTCGCTCACACGTTCGCCGCGCAGTTATCTCAAAATACTGCCGGTGAAAATAGTCGGACCGCGGGCCAGCATCGACACTTTCGCCCTCCTCGACGATGGATCTACCATCACCCTCATAGATGAGGAAATAGCCACAAGAGTCGGCGCGGAGGGGCCGACAGAACCACTGAAAATAGAAGCACTGGCCGGCGCAACGGTTCGAACAAATAGTTCGAGACGCGTAACTCTAACGTTATGCGGTTCAGAAGAGGAGTATGAGATCTCCGCCAGGACAATGAAGGGACTCAAACTCGCCAAACAACAAATAGAAGAAAGGGATATCCGACGATGTCAACACCTGGCTGGCATCAAGAAGATACTGTGTTACCACGACGCCACACCAACGATCCTCATCGGCCAAGACAATTGGGAACTGTTACTGGCCATAGAAGTTCGCCGAGGATCTTCGTCACAACCAGTCGCATCGAAAACTCCGCTCGGATGGGTGCTGCATGGAGCGTCCACTCGCAGTCTCGGCCATCAAGTCCACCATGTATATCATATACGTGAGGGGGCCGAGGATAGAATAGAAGAGGAATTAAGAAGATATTTCTCTATAGAATCACTAGGCGTGCTGCCAAGAAAGACACGCGCCGACCCTCAAGAGCGAGCACTACAGATACTACAGAAGAAGACTCGCGCTCTGCCAGATGGGGGATATAGTACATCGCTACTGTGGAAAACAGATAAAGTCGAGTTGCCGAACAACTACGATGCGGCGCTCAACAGGCTGTACAGCACAGAGAAGAAAATAGATAGGAATCCACAGCTGAAAGAAGAATACGAGCGACAAATAGCGCTCCTAATAGAAAAAGGCTACGCAGAAGAAGCCGCCACCACCCCATCGGACGCCCGCACCTGGTATCTTCCGCACTTTCCCGTGCTTCATCCAGCTAAGCCGGGGAAAGTTCGTCCAGTCTTCGATGCAGCCGCTCGCGCCAGGGGGACGTCACTCAACGATCATCTGCTGACCGGTCCGGACTTACTTCAATCGTTACCAGGAGTGTTAATGCGATTCAGACAACATCCAATAGCCGTCGCCGCAGATATAGAAGAAATGTTTCTACGAATAGAAATCAACGAAGAAGATAGAGATGTCCTGCGGTTCCTGTGGCGACAACACCGGCGGGAGGGACCACCCCGCGAATATAGAATGAAGGCAGTGATCTTCGGCGCCGCCTGCTCACCGTGCATCGCTTTGTACATCAAGAACCACAACGCAGAACAACACAAGGAACAATATCCAAGAGCAGCCGACGCAATTATCCATAACCACTATATGGATGATTACCTTCAAAGTTTCCAAACAGAGGAAGAAGCTATAAAAATCACCCATGAAGTTGACACCGTACATAGGAAAGCAAAATTCCATTTAAGGAAGTGGACATCGAACAGCCCACAACTACAAGAAAAATACAACAGCACAAGAATAGAAGATAGGACCGTCTCCATAGATAGAGCCGACAAAGAAGAGAAAATATTAGGCCTCACATGGAGGCCCGCCACGGACACATTGGGCTTCAACTTAAATATGGCCCGAATTCCGCAAGAGATAGTCAACAGAAGTCGCACACCGACGAAGAGAGAAGCCCTCCGTACGGTCATGTCTCTCTTCGACCCACTAGGATTAGCATCACCCGTCACCGTGCAAGCGAAAGGCATTTTACAAGAAACATGGCGAATCGGCATCGGTTGGGACGAGAAATTGCCTGAGAAGTTAGCCGAAGACTGGACGAAGTGGACACAGCACTTAGTCAATTTACGCCATATCAACGTGCCACGATGTCATCCGGAGCTGAGCAGCGCGTCATCCAGGGAACTGCACACATTCGTAGACGCAAGCGAGAACGCCTACGCCGCCGCCGTGTATTGGAGAGTGCAAGACAAGGACGGCAACATTCACGTGACACTCGCCATAGCCAAGGCGCGAGTTTCACCTCTGAAGATAGTATCTATACCAAGACTCGAGTTGCAAGCCGCTGTCCTGGGTTGCCGGTTAGCACGCACGGCTACAGAAGAATACCAGATTAAACCGGACCGTCGATACTTCTGGAGCGATTCAAGAACAGTATTAGCGTGGTTAAGGGCTGGTCCACGCACATTCAAACCATTCGTGGCGCATAGAGTCGCGGAAATAGAAGAAGAAACGAAAGCGAACGAATGGAAATGGGTACCTACGCGTCACAACGTGGCCGATGACGCAACTCGAGGAGTGCCCACGGATTTCGACACGGAACACCGATGGTTCACCGGACCCCAGTTCCTATACAAGCCGCAGGAAGATTGGCCCGGGCAAGATGAGTCTGGTGGCATAACAACAGACACCGGAGAAGAACGCACGCACATGGTATACACAGGCGATAGCAACACAACAGACAGCGGCGTACTCCCGGACATCACACGCTTCACGTCATGGCTGCGACTGCTACGAGCCACAGCACGCGTGTTGCAGTTCATCGACCGGTTACGCGAAGCAGTCGAAAATAGAAAAAACACCGCCTCACAAAACGCGGTACATTATAGGCGCACAGCGCGCAATATAGAGAAGGACCCGGCGTGGAATAAGAAGACGGCTCGCAAAATAGTACAGACAGCGCCGAGGTTCGACAATAGTGAAGAAAGAAATTTCGTCAAATTAACTGCGGAATATATACGACGCGCGGAACAATTGTGGATACGGGCCGCGCAACAAGAATCGTTCAAGAACGAAATAGAAACACTCCGCGGTAAAGGGACAGTCGATAACAATAGCAGACTGAAACCACTAGCGGTGATCGAAGAAGACGGTTACATCAAGTTGAAATCAAGAATAGCAGCAGTCGTCGATGTTACAGATAGCATGAAGAAACCGATAGTCCTGGATGGGAATCATCGATATACCCAGTTGTACCTGGACTGGGTGCATAGAACACATCACCACGCCGGAGTCGAGTTGGTGATGAACGAAGCTCGACAGCATTATTGGATACTTCGAGCGAGACCGACAATTCGCAGCATCGTCAAGCGATGTCAACTGTGCCGACTACGACGCGCAACAGCATCGATCCCGCCCACCGGAGACCATCCGGTCAGCCGACTCGCCCATCACCAGAGGCCATTCACATACACAGGCGTGGACTTCTTCGGGCCTCTTAGTGTCACCGTGGGGCGACAACACCACAAACGCTACGTCGCGTTGTTCACATGCTTGACAACGCGAGCAGTACATTTAGAGTTAACCACTTCATTGTCCACAGACTCCGCAATATCCGCACTCAGGCGGATGATGGCCCGACGAGGGAAGCCAACCGAGATCTGGTCCGACAATGGGACCAACTTCCACGGCGCAGACGCAGAGCTACGTCGCGCCGCCATAGAAGCAAGTCGCGAAGACGCGGCTAATCATCGTATACGCTGGCGGTTCATCAGCCCCAGCGCACCATTCATGGGCGGAGCGTGGGAACGTCTCATCCGCTCCGTGAAAACAGCATTAGCCGCCACACTGCATGAGCGGCACCCTTCGGAAGAAACATTAGTCACACTGCTGTGTGAGGCGGAATATACCGTGAATAGCCGTCCGCTCACACATGTATCAACTGACCCGGACGACGAGGAAGCCATCACGCCTAACCACTTTCTACTGGGTGGTTCGGGCAAAGTGCAAACTCCGGGAAGTTTTGGAGACACCGATATCGATAGCCGGAGTCACTGGAAGAGAGCGCAACGGCTAGCAGACCACTTCTGGAGCCGATGGCTCCGGGAGTACCTACCGGAACTTCAACACCGGCGGGAGCCCCGCGGCACGGGGCAACCTCTGCGCATCGGGGACTTAGTCCTGATCGTCGACTCCAATCTCCCGCGCAACACATGGCCGCGCGGGAGGGTAATAGCAGTGTTTCCCGGCCCAGACGGCGTCATCCGAGTGGCCGACATCCAGACCAAGAATGGCGTGCTGAGGAGGCCAACCAAACGACTCGTGGTCCTGCCAACGGGAGTTGCTGATAGTGAAGAGCGGGTTCCGGAACCAGACAAGGCTCCTGCAGCGCCCTCGACGACCGCTGCAGCGGCGGGAGAATAATGTTCCGGACCACCGCTTAAAGATTATGTATAGTCATAGATTGTAGAAATAAGTTCGATTAGAGATAGCAAATTTATAAATAGTACAATTGTTACATAGTAACACCTTAAGAATAGTAGATTCGATAGGGATAAGTTTATAGAGATTTAAGTACTTTATGTTATTATTTACGAAAATGCTTGGATATATAGGATAAGATGACAAATAAATGATTATAATGGTTGTGGTTTCAATCCCCTAAAAATAAATAGGTCGGCAAATAGAAACAGAATAGAATATAGTATAAAAAATAGATCCCAAAATACATAGGGATCTTTTTATAGTATCATTTCATTTGTAGATATGTAATAATAATTGTAATGTGCGTTGCGCGGCAGCATTCGTTCGACTGACGCGCGACCTCGCTCTCCCGCGCTATATATATATGAGGGGGAAGGGGAGCGAGGTCATATAAAAGGCGCGATCCGCGAAATCGCGAATTATTCCTAAACCGCACGTCGCGCAGCGCACACATCATAATAAAAATGTAAATTAAAGATGGTATTGTCGTTTGATGCACAAATTGTAAACACAAAATGTAAGATTGATAAAATATAATAAAAATTATATAAAGGGGTGAGGAGAATAGGGCGGCCAAGGGTCCGCTGGCTAGTAGCCAAAAATCGTATATAAGTAGCGTCCAAAAGCGCTACAAATCATAGCGAATTCAACCTCTGAATAGCGAATCTGACCTCAGGATAGCGAATCTGACCTCGATTAGCGAATAGCGAACTCGACTTCTGAATAGCAAAATCAACCACTGAAGAAATTCTCCTCGCCTCTGCATTCTGAACCACAAGAACCGTTTTCTCATTTACTGCCCGTCCATCATCACCGTCGTCAAGCATAGTCGTCACAACCCTTTTCACGCATCGTGTCATCGCATCGTGTCACCGTCGCATCAGCATCGTGTAAACGTCCTTCTCAGGACGAATCATCGTGGTGCCTATAAAGAGGCACCTGGTCCTTCACCCGCAACGCGCCCGCGGCGTTGATTGAGGCCCTTCAGGTAGGGAGTGCTTTGAAAAGGGCACTCTCTCACCTCGAGGAGGATAGATTGACGTCCGGGCGTACCAGCGACTCGGTGCCTGCCGACGCGCCTTCCGACTCCCGGGGGCAGCGGCCAGCACACTGTTATTGCCTACTTTAAATAGCTTTTTTTTATGGATGATAATGGTATGGTGCACCCGCCTGCGCTATCGGTTTACGCTGGCGGGGCACCAGTGGAGGACGAAATGAACATGAGGTCAGGTCAGTTAGCCCATCGTAACAAATTCAAGAATTTATCATGACGGTTTCCAGGGGAACCGCGTCGATGTCAACCTGACACGGTACATCGCTAGCAATGGGATCATCAGTCCACATTACTAACAATCTTCTTTCCTCCATACTTTGAACAGTTTTTTATGTGTATGATAATGGAATGATGCACCCGCCTGCGCTAACGGTATACGCTGGCGGAGCACTAGTGGAGGATGATAAGATGAGCATGAGGTCAGGTCAGTTAGCCCCTCGTGACAATTTTACCAGGAATTTATCATGATGGTTTCCAGGGGGACCGCGTGGAGGTCAACCTGACATGGCACATTGCTAGTAATGGGGTCATGAGTCCACATTACCAACACCTCCCCTTGTCACTTTGTTATTAACTGGACGGTAGGGTCCAGTTCAGCTAGTATAAGGATTAGTCATCTGCTTCTTCCTTATCACATTTATTTGTGGTCGACGTAATGTTTTTCTCTTCCATTCACCTCTGTTCATTTTCCCCCCTCTTTGAACAGTTCACGACATTAAAAACGCGTAGATTCTAGATACGATAGTGTATTACGCGCCTTATGCCCAGAGGCCCTACCAAGGAAGCGGCTTAACGAAATTACATACAATTTTTGACCGGTATAATCAAATTAGTTGGGGTCATTCGCCTTTGAATAATGTAAGACGCGTAGGAAGCAACAAAGACGAGTCTATGCTCTGTAATTATTGCCTATGGGCAATTTATGGTTCTCACATTCTTATATTTGAGAATGGTTTTATGAAATATACATCTCTTATCGTAACCTTCGTCCGTTTAGGAATTTACTTCTCCACGTTCCTGCTCATCATACGAGCTTTCATTTCTAAATCTTTCACTTTACAGGCCATTAAGCACAGTAACGAGTTACCCCTTGACATTAAGTCCAGCTCTTCAAAATTCACATTCAAATCCAAATTACGCAAACACCTTTCCCAGAACTAGTGTAGGCTCCTGTTATCCTTGTAGTATTATTCCTCCACCCTCTACCTACCTCTATGCATCTGAATTTCCCTGTTGATTTGATTTTTGATAAATTTACAATTGTATGTGTATTTGTATGTATGTATGTATGTAGGTACGTACGCAGCTTTATATATTATAGATTATTTATTCATATTATGTATTATAGTTTAAAAGTATATTCGCATATGTATTTATATTTAATCATATTAAAGTGATCTTCTTTTTATTTTGTTTTTTTATAGATTTCAATTTCAATTTCTTAATCTCTGTTTGCCCAATGGTTGACTGTGAGAAAATGCCTCAAGGCGTTAAGTCCGCCATGTGTACCTTTATTTATATATTTGTGCATTAAAAATTTTAATAAATAAATAAATAATAATAAATATGTGGTTTGGTTGGCGTGTTGATATACAGAAGGAGTGAATAGTAATGAAAGACTGAATATATAACGGTGTATATAATATCAGAATTAAAAATAACAAATAATAATTAATTTAATTAACTTATTTAAATCAGTAATTTGCAAGCGAATGAATTTGTCATTTTTACAATATACTTTTTATTAAATGTATCTGTGTTATATGGCTAGTCAATGCAAGGAGGTTGGTAGCCTACAAATATATAATACTAGCTGTGCCGGCGACTTCGTCCGCGTATTGTAGTGACCAAATGAAGAAAAAATATTCAATTATTTAAAAGCAAAAGAAATTTTTTTTATCGTTCTAGATTTAAAAATGACAATATTCCATACAAACTTTCATCTCCCCTTTCAACCCCTTACAACCCTTTTTTAGCATTAAAAAGTAGCCTATGTCCTTTCTCAGGGTCTAAACTATCTGTGTTCCAAATTTTGTTTAAATCGGTTCAGTAGTTTTAACATGAAAGCGAGACAGACAGACAATAATACTATGTCAGGTTGACCTCCATGCAGTTCCCTCTGGAAAAACTCGTGGTAAATTCCTAGTTAATTTGCCAGGATGGGCTAAATAAATGAATGTGATGACTTGACTTCATTCTCATCTTATCATTATCCACTGGTGCCTCGCCAGCCTAAACCGTTAGCGCAGACAGACAGACAGACAGACAGACAGAGTTACTTTCGCAGTTATAATATTAGTAAGGATTGGACAATTAATACCTCGCCATTAAGTCTCAAGTTAAGCAGATATCGTGTTATGGGTACTAGACAACTGATACAAATACATAGATATTTTTTTGTAAATACATACATAATATTCATAGAAAACATCTAGACCGATACAAACAATCATACTCATGAATACAAATGTTTGCACCGTGCGAGGAATTGAACCCACAACCATCGGGTAGGAGATTGCTAGCAATGTACTATGTTAGATTGACCACGCACTTCCCCCTGGAAACCATGACAAATTCCTGGTGAATTTGTTACAATTGGCTATCTCCCTGACTTATCCTATCATCCTCCACTGGTGCCCCGCCAGCGTATACCATTAGTACAAACGGGTGCACCGTTCCATCATGGAAGACCATCGGTTCTATAATATGTAGAAATGATCAACGATTGCCTACACAAATGAACAGATCACCTAACTGCCTCTAACTTCATGTTGTCCTGGTACTTTCACTGTATCACACCTATTATTTTATAAGAGCTTGGAGCTGTTCTGACCTCCATCCTATCATCCTCCACTGGTGCCCCGCCAGCGTATACTGTTAGTGCAGGCGGGTGCACCGTTCCATCATGGAAGACCATCAGTTCTATAATATGTAGAAAGGATCAACGCTTGCCTACATAAATGAACAGATCACCTAACTGCCTGTAACTTCATGTTATCCTGGTACTTTCACTGTATCACACCTATTATTTTATAAGAGCCTGAAGCTGTTCTGACCTCCATCCTATCATCCTCCACTGGTGCCCCGCCAGCGTATACCGTTAGTGCAGGCGGGTGCATTTCATTAACATTCATTAAACATGTTCTGTCATACATATTAATTATATAACATCATTACATTATGTCATAATTAAATTTATATGTTACTATATTTATGTTTATGTTGAATATATGAATATTGTTAACAACGGTCAAGGTCGATAGCTAAAACAGACATTTTATACAAGCTATACCCGCGGCATTCTACCTAATAGACCCGTTTTTTATAATTAAGACTGATTACATTTAGCCGTATTTTTAAGAAGGGCTTCTTAAAAATACGGCAAAATGTAATTAGTCTTTTTTTAAATTGGTAAAAATTTCCAGCAAACAAATCTAGGCACGGCGACGTCATAATAAAAACCTATTTACTCCCTAAACGAATATAAGGTATTAAATTCAAAACATCCCATTTTAAAAATACGATCAAATCGAATACGTCTTTTGTCAAGTTGGTCAAAAATTGCGCCAAATAAATGCAGCGATGGCGACGTAACATTGAGTATCAAGTTTGCGAGTCATGGTCACCATGGTGGAGTCAACGACCGGCGGCCATCTTGCCATAACTATTGTCTAGTACAGCGGTTCCCAAACTTACTTGTGTCGTAGACCCTTTGCCATATTTTTCTGTTTTATGTAGACCCACCCATTCTTAGAATTCTATAGAATAAAACAAAAAATCAATACCAGGATTTTTTGTTTTATTCTATTATGTTCAAAATCTACCCTGTATCATCGTAAGCACAGATTATTATATTAGAATCCGTTAGTTTGTGTTCCCGCGCTTT